GCAACACCGTCCTTATAGGCTCAACCTATCGCTTGACCTATCTGTTCGCCTTTCGCTAATCCAATGTTGTTAATCAAGAAAAAAATAGCACCGATCGTCTTTGTGAGTCTATCGCGATTTAAATAACAATACAATTGCCTACAGATATCCATTGAACCTCATATCAGATCAGATAGCTCGCCTTCGTGGCGCAAGATTTTTTCATGTGTTGATATGGCAAGTGGATTTTACCAAATCCCGGTACACCCAGATTCAATTTACCGAACGGCATTCGTTACGCCATAATTAAGGCCCTAAGTCCGCTGGCACACACATTCGCAATTGTTTACCTTGATGGTGTTTTGGACATAGCAGAAACGAAAGATGAAGTTACATGAAGCTTACATCAATAAATAATGCTAATTTTGTCTGACTGCCAGAGCATGAACAAATATTCTTAAAAATAATAGGTGTATTTACACAGACACCAGTGTTTACCATATTCGATCCACAATATTTAATAAAGTTGCACACAGATGCAAGCTCTATCTGTTATGGGGCAATATTTTTGCATAAAATAAAAAATAAATCATATGCAGTGCAGTATTATAGTAAATGCAGTTCTTCTTGGCAGTTGTCAATGCTATCAAGTATTTTGGCCACTATTTGCAGTTGCGAAAATTTGTTGAGCACTGATTGCAATTATGTTAAGGCTAGTCGAACTAAAATGAATTTAACACCAAGGGTGCATAGATGGTGGGGTTTCCTACAGTCATTTGATTTTAATCTCGAATTTAGAAAAGCTGAGCGAATGGCGCGTGTTGACTTCCTTCACCGAAATCCACTGCCCGAGAGAAATAAGTGCGCAGATAAAATCAATCAGAACCATATCCATCTAACCGAAAACTGGTTGGTTTTCGAGCACCAGCGCGATCCAAAGATTGTCGATAATACTTATAAGCTACGCAGTAACAAATTACCAGAACATTTAAATAAAACGTTTAAATTGAGAAAGGGAATATTACATAGAAATATTCATAGAAATGGTAAAACTAGGTGTTTGCCGGTAATTCCAAGGATGTTCAGGTGGGCATGATTAGCCACATTTGGGTTGGGAAAAACATTAGATAAAGTATACTGTTACTACTGGTTCGAAAATATGTCTAAGTACGTACGTAGATTCGTAGAAAATTGTATCATCTGTAAATTAGCAAAACAACCAAACGGAAACGGTTCCAATACCCAAGATAGAGGTTTCATGGCACACCGTAAACATCGAAATAACGGGCAAAATTAATGGTAAAAACGAGCTGAGGAATATGTTATCGTCTTAATAGATGCCTTCACAAAGTTTGTCTATTTCCACTATCCACTAAAAACAGACACTGAGAGCTGTACAGAAGCTGTGAAATCGGTAGTGTCCCTATTTGGATTGACGACTAAAATAATAGCTGACTAAGGTCACATGAATGGTGATGGTGCGTCTAGGACCCAAGAGGGGAAATTTTGACCGCACTATAACAGCTGTCCGACAGGGATGAAAATTGTTATGGCGGGTGATAATGATCAAGATGATTGGGTGCATGTGTTTGCACACCAAATTAAATGAGAAGCTTGAGTTATGAAATACGATGAATTGTCAGTTGATGTTTGTGTAAGATAAGTTCTGAACTGAAAAAGAAAATAATGAAATTAAAATTAATATTTAATAATTGAAAGAATCTAAACGAGGTTGTAAAACTTGGATTGGGTGGTAGAAATAGCACACGAGGACGTGTGATATGTCAGGAAGGCCGTGTCGCAGCGTGATGTCTAGTATTCGTTGGCGAGTGGCAGTCCGAATTCGGGGAATAACGCGCTTTTTTTTTGGTAGATGATATTAAGTGATGACCGATCGTAGATAACAAGATTCTTGAAAGAACCACATTTTTTTACCCTACGAGTAACGGGTATAAACAAAGCAATTATTTTTTCGAACATGGCATACAAAACATATGGTATATGTGGAGAGCCATATCGGCAGCGAAGAGCGAAAAGAAAAGAAATAGACTAAATCATTAATGTACACACTTCACAATGAAATTAGTTGTTAGTTGACCTGGTAACGCCGACAGTGATGGTACAAATAAAAGAGTGAACGTGAGACCGTACTTGAGAATTATTATTTAAGTCGGGAATCGGGCGTCGTTACAGTATATATCAACACGCTATTCACCGACAAACACTTTTTCCTATAAGTTAAACCAAATTTAGATGCTGTCCAACGCTGATGCTAAGTCCATTCGGGCACTGTTGAGCAACTAAGAGTTTTAAATTACTGTAGAATAAATAAACCGGGGCAGTTCAATTTTATTCCGAGTTCAAATCAATACCAAATCAACTCCGCAACAAAAACACGCCGAATGCAAGAAGTACAGTTTAAACAACCAAAAGCTTCGAGCTACAGCAGTTTTACAAAAGCACATGCGCTACAAAGTAACAGTAAAGCGAATGCGAAACTGGAAAAACCAAAACAAAATATGAACTGCTGATAAACCCGCCGCTCCTCATCCGTCTTTGTCTTTGGCTGCTTAGCCCAACATCCTCCCCCCGTTGACGGCTGGCCATTCAACAGAGTCCTTGAGGGGCACAAGTAATGTTTATGCGCGCCTTCTCGCCGACCAGCAGCTTGTCGTAGGCAGCGATTTCCAAATCCAGTGAGACCTTGATGTCCATGAGGTCCTGGTATTTGTGCAGTTAATGGGTCATCTCTTCGCGCAGTCGAATAAGCTCCATGTCGAGCTAACACACCTCTTGGCCGTGACGCTCGCAAGTGTTATCGAGTTCCAATTCACATACGCGACCATTGAGAGCGGCATTTAGGTGCGTAGAGTTGGATGTCCGTACAGCGGCTTCTTGCAGACGACGGACTTTATCCTCGTAGCTGCTGTAACGACTTCATCGTATCGTTCCTCAGCTGACAAAACGAGGAACCTTGGGCAAGAAAGCACATTATGTGCCGCATAGGGCCCATGGAACCGGCGGCGCATTAAGGAGTATGCATGAACGATTATTAAACGGCCTACGTCGGCGCACTTCTTCCGCTGGCAGATGCGGATCTAAAGCCAAATCCACAGTCTCAAGTATTCGACAGATTTGTTCCAAAAACCGAGCGATAGATCCCCAAGTTGGCAGGCTGTCAGCACTGTTTCCTGCGAGAGAATCTTCCCACTTCCCCTTTGTGGCAAGGTCCAGCATTTGAAAGATGATCTGGATGAGGAGGCATCCGGAACTCATGAGCATATAACCATTGAATAGGTCGGATAACTAACTAAGAGTGGCAACGGATCCCAGCTTGACTACCCTTTAAAATACATAAAAATGTATCCGCAAAATAGTAGGGGAGGAGAATGCAGGGTATATAAAAACACTTATCGTGTGTCTGGCCAGCGAAATGGACAATACCTAGTGTGCCCAAGAAGTATGTGCGAGCCTTGAGTGGTTTAATTCGGAGCATATTGAGGTTAAAAAGGTATGTACCAAATATATAAATTAATTTAATACCGACCTTTATTATTTCACTCAACCCCGTTGGGGCAAGGATTAATTTATAAGAGATTGGTTTAATTATTTATCTTTATTTATTTCACCTAAACCTGTTAAGGTAAAGGATAATATAAACAGTGTGATTGATATAATTATTTATTACGCAGCTATGGCTGCGGAGTATGATTTAAAACTATTCCCCTAAATCTGTTAAGGTAAGGGATGGTTATAAATGATTTTACATTATTAAATTATTACACATTTATTTCCCCTAAACCTGTTAAGGTCAAGGATAGCATAAATGGTATAATTATTAATTACACAGCTATGGCTGCGGAGTACGATCTTAGACTAAACTAAATATCCGATCCGGTCGCAGCTAGAAGTCTTCGTCTGGTTGCAGCGCTGTCGCCAAAGTGCCGGATCAGCATTTTTATCCAGGTGCTGACGATCACTCGCTGCGCGAGTGTTCTGGCCGGGAACTGTGGGATTGTCTCCAGAGTGCAGAGTTGACGATTTCCTTAATGCGCGTGTTGGCCACTTCTGATCGGGCTCTGGGTGATTGCCCCCAGAGTGCAGAGTCGGCGGTTTCTTCGTTGCGCATGTTGACCACTTCTGGCCGGGCTCCGGGTGATTGTCCCCGGAGTGCAGAGTCGGCAGTTTCCCTATTCCGTGTGTTGGCTGCCGGATGTGGCCCGCAACTCGGCAGTTTCCCAATTTGGGAACTGGGTGTGTTAACTTATACAGTAGTGGTGATTTAGAAAAAGATACTAGATACTTAAGTAACGAACTGCACGCAACTACTCAACCTATAATTGAAAAGAATTAAAAGGTCATATTTGCATAAATTTAAGGAAAGGAATAACTGTATTATTATAGAAAATCAGAATACTTATTTACAATTTTAGGTGCAATTTAACATCAAACTGCTTTTCTTACCATTTGAAGCGTACATTCATGAGAAACTTATTTAACGATAATGTACAAGTAGTACAAATCCGACCTTTAGGAACATTTAACGCCTTGCACATCACAAACACTACAAAAACAAATAACTTTATATACATTTTTGAATTTCCTCTTGCTGTAATACTATATTGATATCGATGTCGTCACCAGCGATATTGACGCCACCACCACCAAATACAAAGCCCTTGCCTATTAATTAGCTCACGTTAACATGTTTGTGCAAAAACAGGAATAAAACTGCATTCAAAAATTAAATTAGTTATACATTTTTGTTATAATAATTTTAAAATTTTTTAGAAATTTCATAAAATCTTAGTAATGCCACACATTATTATGTCACAGCCCATGTATGGCTATAAAGACTGCACAAATATCCAAATTTTAAAGAAATGCATTTGGTACATTGATAGGTATCGACAAGATATGGGGTGAAACACTTAAGCCTTTATTATACGGACGTCACCTTCGTTTGAGAGTTTGTTTTAGTATCCGGCCACGACCACTCTAACGCCTACAAAACGCATCCATTGCAATTGGCAAACATCGAAATTTATTCACAGTACTTAGGGTTTCTAATTTAGCTACACATTAATTAACATTTTGAGTTACAACTTTTTACCAGAAGGGGCACTGGTTTGAGGAGGTCATGCCAGTTCCACTGTGACACTCGAAAACTTCGGCAAACTGCGAAACCTGGCTGAGGGAGTAGTTTAGCCTCTGTTTACCAGAATCGTGATACTTATCACCCTCGTCTCCGCAGAAGAAGTGCGCAAACTGAAGGAAATAGAGCCGACCATTATCCGAGTGGGTCAACCAATTGCCCCCATAGGTCTGCAATGCGAGCCGGGATCCACTGACGTCCGATGTGCGCTCATTTAGCATAACTGCGCTACTGTTAAGGCACCCAACTGCTCTGTTATACAGCTCCACCTGTCCGAGCTGCTCACTGAAGTTCCTTAAGTTTCCCTGCCCGTCGTAATCCACTAGATCCGTGTCGAAGGCATGCATCATCTCGTGGCCAAGGGTGTTGCCCAAATCACCATATAAAAGTGCCGGCCAAAAGCCGGCGTGGAAGAATGGGCGTTTCAAATATGAGTACGGCACAAGAATAATGTTTCCCAAGCAATAGAAGTACGGCGTGGCGTCGATGTTGTCGGGGAACTCTGGCGTGTGCATGTTGAAGCTGTACCAGATTTTCCTATCCTCCATATTGGTGCTACCCTCCAGGTCGGCGACGAGTGTGTAATAGTACAAAAGACTGTTGAGATGATTTTCGTAAAAATTGTGGCCAACTGTCCACCGCCGGTCGCTGTCCCAGTAGAACTGCTCTGAAACATTTGTGGGCAAGTTGCCCACATTAATACGCATTTTGTGCACCTTCTCCCTTAGTGACATCACCAGCTCTTGGCTCAGGTTGAACTCGTTGTATTGGACGCGCAGTTCAAGCTGATCCTGCAATTGCTCAAAAACACTGTGAATAACTAATTCGTCTGAATTACGCCTCTGGGTATAGAAACTCCTTTCGTAAACATAATTCATCGGAAGATAAAGCGAACGACGCATATGGCGTATGCAATCTCTACCCCTAGATCTCTGCTTAGCATCCCAGGTGGCCAGGGGGTTGTGCGGGAGCCCCATAAGATGGCTAAGAAATCTCGCTAGGCTATATCGGTTTAGCAGAAGCGTATCTCTATTATTGAGGTACTTCACAATTCTGTTGATGGCATCCAAGTCATCAACCTGGAATATGTGATCCGCTGGTATCGATCTCCCGAGCTGCTTTCTTAATACCTCGTCCCACTTCAGTCCTGTCACTTCCGTGCGAATTTGATCTAGTCTATAATTCCGGAAAGTATCGTCCGCTGTGGGGGACTTTGCCAACCTAACCAAATTCTTTTCAAGATTTCTGAACTGCTCCTGAATCTGATGAAGAGGTGGCCAATAGGATCCATCTTGACTTAAGGCATTGTAAATTTCAGTAGTGAGACTCAGGCTTTCGTGATGGTTGTGAGGAAGCAGGAATATCATGTGTTGACTTGCGTTGTACCACCGAACTTCCAGCTGTACAAAATGTCCGTGATAGCCATACCGGCCCAAAACCGCCAAAACATTCATCCAGTGCGTACAGTTTAGTGACGAAAGCATATCTTCGCCCAAGAGCTCTATATAACGTCTGAGATTTGGCTTGTCCAAGGCTGTGCAATTCTGATAGTGGGTCAGCACCTTCCCGTACATGGGGTATAAGTGCTCTGGGCTACTTAGATTACTAAGCAAGTAGGTAAATAAGTCCTCATACTGACCGTTGATTTGACTTTCGCTTATTGCCGTGGCCGTTGACTGGGTTCCATGTTTTTCCCGCCATTTACCGCAGGCATAGGCATAGAAGTCATTGCATGGATTCTTCTCGCTGTCGACATAAGTCATTAGCGTATCTATGTGCTGTTCATTGATCGCTGAATTGCATTGGCTAGAGTACGGACAACTTTGGTCAATAATATTTGCATTAATCGGAACACTCGAACCATACACGGCAGTGCAGCACAGAATAAGGGCAGTCCACGGATTTCGAATCATTTTTATAGGGAGTTATTTGCACTTACTTTCGGTAAGTCTGTTTTGTTTCTGCGGGTTTCATAAGCTGCACCTGCAGTCTAGTAATTTAAAAATTTCTTTTTTTTCCTTATAGTCGTATACGAACATTTCAAAAGAGAAGGTAGCTGAATATTGTAACCCGACGAGCTCGCGATTTTAAGTGGTTATCGATGTGTAAGCATTTGCAGCGCGATCCCCCTGATAACATTCAACAAAAATCTAGACTCACGCTGTTTTCATTTTATGTCAATTCTGAACTCACTCACGTCTTCTAATGTTGCTATATCAAACATTACGCACACTGTTTTACGATTGAGTATTATTTCGGCTTTCTCAGTATTTGTAAAATTCCGGTAGCTAGCTTTTTGCTTGGTTAGCTTATCAGCGCTTTAAATACGTGTTTTTCTTTTCGGCTTTTGTATAGTGAGCTTATCTATAACATATACATCTATATAAACATGAGGAAGCAATAGAAACAAATCTTACTTATTCTTGAATAACTGATTTGAACCTGTAACACGCTATAGTCGAGAAACGGACTATCAGATACCCATTACTGTATCTCGAGCCGTTTAACACATATTTAATAACTGATAGCGTCATGACTACTAAGATAAAACCTTATAACCTTTCTTAACCTTCAAATTAAGAAACCATCTGTTTTTTTGACAAAGTACAAATTATTATACTCTAGCTTCTTAATCAGTTGAGATAGGTGACTGCATTGAAAAGCAATATTTCTCTAATATCACATTTCACTTTACAACATTTAAAAGTTGACTAAAAGTATTGAAAACGAATTAATAAACAAAAATATTTAAATTTAAGTTATTTAAATCCTCCAAATCGTTTGTTCTAGGCAACAATATTTAAGATATCTGATTTCATTTGTATTCAAATAACCTTTTTGTTGGTATAACAAATAAATGCATTTATTAAACGTCAATCAACCAACTTAAGGGCTATAATGCATTCAGCATAATATTGAAAAAATAACATAAATATATAACAGGAAGGAAATTAACAAATGCTTATAACTATTTTAGTACTCGAGAATCTTGGCGCTTGTCCAAAGATCGGCTGGATATCTTCGCTTTAAACGTCTTCTAATTCTTGTGTTAGCCCCCTGGCTAAATGGTTAGTGTGAGCTGCGAGGCAATCATTGTACCGACTCGAAAGCCTGTTTTTCTGTTCCGTAGTAGAGAAAATGTGGAGATCACTTGCAAGGGCTTCATTTCTGGCTTACCAAGGAGCATTTGCAATAATTCTAAAATAATAATTTTTGCTAATAGAAACTGACATTTTAACAAAGCAACTTTTTCAGCTGTGCTTTGAGAGAAAGAAAAACACTCGTTTTTGCTAACTTAAAGGGAATATTATATTCGTTGAAAAGAATGTATCAGGTAGAAGCAGGCGTTTCCGACCCTATAAAGTATATATATTCTTGATCAGTATCAATAGCGAAGTCGATAAGGCCATGTCCGTTAGTTTGTCCGTCCGTCCGTTCGTATGAACGATGAGATCGCAGGATCTATAAGCGTTACAAAGTTGGAATTAAGCATGAAGATTCTTAAGGTTTCTGCGTTCTGCCACGCCCACTATAACGCCCACAAAACACGGAAAACTAAAATCGCTGAAATCTTAGAAACTTTTAGAGTTAGAGAGTTGTATATTCTTGTGATGCCAGCGCATTTTATGGTAGTACCGGCCACGGCCATTTTTACGTCCACCAAGCTCGAAAGACGGTTTTCGCTTTTTGTAGAAAGGCTGATCTCTTGGTAACTGTAAGAGATAGCAATTTAGGAGTAGGCGTGTAGTTTCTAATGACACCCCAAAATCCGGAAAATCAAAAATGCGAATCTCTGGAACTATAAGAACTACACGGTTATGCTAGGAATACGTATTTTAAAGTTGCCACCGCAGCTCGCTAGTTTCGCCCAAAACCCGGAAAACTGTCCCTCCATAATATCATCATTGGAATCATTGGGAATTGAATTGAATTTTCTAGTGAAAATTGTTGTTTCGAAAAAACTTTTAGTACCAACTCGTATAAGCTTTCTGTGATTATACACAAGTTTGTTGGCAAGGTGATAGATTGCATGTAATCATCAATTTGCATTCGTCCATTTCCAATATCCACTAATTGTTTTGCAAATATTTCAGCCGATGCATCATGTTGTAATTGTACAGGTATGTTGGTTTTTCAAAGTGAATTTTTGTAAATGACGCCATAAAATGGATGATTCATGCATTAAGTTGATCAGCAGGTGTTGAATGTGGTATAACCGGCAGTGTTTGTCAAAAATCACCAGACAATAAAATGAGATCTCCACCAGAAATCCATTCGTTTCCACTTATATATCGCAGTGTTCGATCAAGCGCTTCCAATGCTTTCTTGTGAGACATTGTCCATTCTTCCCATAAAATAATTTGACACGTTTTGAGATCTTTGCCCATTCCAGAGTTTTTGTTGATTTTGGATATTGGAGCCTGTGTTTTGTAAATTGCTTCAATGATGAATGAGCTTTTCGTCCACCATCCAAAAAAGTTTCCGCAATTCTAGATGATGCAATGGTCAGTGCATTATTATTTTGTGATCGTATGTCAATATACTTTTCACTGACCTTTTTAGCTGGTGTATAGTTGTGTCCCCTTGTACTCAGACCAACAAAGGGTCATTGTAAGAGGGGTTCCCTGGCAAAGCAAACACCAACTGACAAATTCACAAAAACGTTTACTAGATCGGGTTAATTTGTACAATGTGAAAATAGCGTCCCACGTTAGATCCGCGTCGTAAAATGCATATTTGCCGAAAAATTAAATGCAAGCTTAGAACCAATTCTATCACAAACCAACAAGACAATAGCCACCACATAAAAATTCTGCGCTTAACCATCACCAAAAGATAACGATCACCATCACCAAAAGATAACGAAGATAACATCGACTAATTGTAAGTTCAAGTATCAAAACGTTTAAATATCGTAAAACGGTTAGCCAAAGAGAAATACAACTGCGATATCTACTGCATCATATATACATAAATAAGGAACCACTTATGACGCAGTGTTAAGACTCGCATTTGGAGCCCTCCGCATCACCCCCATAAATAATATTTTCTTAAACGTACAATGCCGATAGAAGAAATATTGGAGCTTAACACAGAGAAATAATCGTTAATGTTTGCAGAGCTCACCTTCAAAGTACCCTTAATAAAATCAGAAAAGCTAGACGAAACCACGCCAAGGCAGATCTTAAGTGGAAATTTGCCAACAGGACCACTTAAGTTAGTGAGGCCATCTTCTGATGTACAGTTTCCGGCACGGTTGAGTTGATACGGTACCTAAGCCATCGCCTGGATTCTATGGAACAGCGAATGTGGCAAATTGATAATACAGTCAATCGCTAGTGGCGGTCAGCAATTAGAAAATCCGACTCGGAATAAAAAGTTGATCGCCAAATTTTCCCTAAGTTGAAGGTTGTATTGGGCCAAGCATTCGGCCATGATAGAAACTTATCCGATGGTTACAGCACTTAAGCGAGTGGTACAGAAGAGAAACAAATATCACACCATAGGTTACCTCATGTACGAGAGGCACCACGAAGTCAGGGCTTGTAAGAAGCTCTAGATATGCTTCTCCTGCCTCAGATGCAACGCCCACAGATGGCAGAGAAAGCATTCCTACACACTTCATGACGAAACCATAGTGAGTAATTCGTCCATGCCTCAAAGAGCGCAAAAGCAAATAAAAAATAAAAGTCAAACGGTTAAAAGTTTCCAAGAGAAGCAGCACCGAAACCTTAGTTTTGACGATTCGGATTCTGCTATACCTGCTTCCGCCCGTGACGCTGTATCGGAAGGATGAGCAAGTGGACACATGTGCACTGCACAGCAAGGGATAGACCATAACGCTCACAAGCGATGGGCTAATACGAAGCCTATGCTTAAACGTGACAATCAAAACTAAATATGTAGTGGTTTTGTCCTGCAGATCAATGAATACTCGGGGCCAGAGATAAGTAAAAGAAGGAACTCTATAGTTGAGTGCCTCGACTATAAGATATATACATATAAGATTATATATATAAAATACTGTTTCATAGAATTTTAAAATATTCATATTGCTAGTAGAAATTGACAAAGCGCAACCTTTTGTCAAAAAAACAAGTTTACTAACTGATGGTAACGTGACTGCCCATGTAAGGCCTTTTTATCCACATTTCTTCGTTTCTTGGTAAATTCGTAAATGCAAGCTAGAAATGTTACACAAATTTAAACGAAGACATATGTACATACATGTAAAGTATTTTATTTATAGAAAGTAAATGTTTATTATAATGCATGATTAACTTATGGGTGAACAATACTAATAATTATTTAATATTAAAGAAATGACGACATTTCTATTTCACAACGTAGTTTTCGACTTGACGAATTCGCAACTTTTCAAAGAGTGAACTGCGGACCAGAGAACGGCAAGGGTACACCCAGACAATAAGTGCACCCGAATCATTTGTGCGTTCTCGGCACTCAGAGTGTGATCACTCACCCGAAACACTCAGATCAGTTGAAGACACCCAAATCACTCAGATCAGTTGAAGACACCCGAATCGCTCATCCCGAAACATGGGTGCTTCAGACTTCAGAGAATTCAGTGGGTGACAAAAAAGCAAATACACAAAACACCCAAAGGGATCTGTGCACTCGGGTGTGTTACTCTTTTCTTGCAGTTCGTGAGTGCGACAAACACTCGAAATGTATAAGTGTGATTCGGGTGCCGAAAAAAGGCATCCTTGACGATCTCTGCTGCGTACGTAACTCTTCTTCTTCTTAAGTTTTAACAGCGTGTCAGAGCTGCCGAATCGCTAAAGTTCTTGGTAACACCAGTGAACTGTTTAAATGGATTTTAATATTATGGGCACCAAATTTTTCAGCGGTTTGTGGGCGTAAGAGTGGGCATGACCGAATGATAAATCACTTCGAGCTGCAGTGTTATCTCTAGAATACGTATGCGTTAGCCTAACCTTAAAGATGTTCGCATTTTTAGTTTTCCGCGTTTTTTCGGTGTTAGAGTGAGCGTGATCAGATGGTGAAAATATGAATTAACAGGGTGGGCTGTTATTTTACACAAAGTTTAATACTCAAATTCTATATTTTGTATACACTGTATTTTTACATTTTACATTTTTTACATTGTATATATGTATACATATATAAAGTGAGTGGCAATTATGGCTTATATTCTTACATTTCTATTCTACATGTTATAACAGTGTACGTTGGTATACGACTGTACAAGAAAAAAGTATTATATACAGGTATAAAGGATAACTAATCCTATATACTATTATGTGAAATACATTTTAGTTTTCTGAACGAATATATGACTATCCTGTCCATGTATAAGCATGTTTATCCTGAAAAATGTGTTATATTTAGTACATCGTATACTAAAATTATTTATAATACAAATTCGTACCTTTGCATCATACATTTTACAATGTACATTGTATTTACTTAAATTTTCCTTTAAAGCCTTTTTATACTAAAAGAGGTTTGTTTTGTTAATAAAAAACGAGAAGAATTGTTGTAACTCAAGCTTTACTGTGTTAAACAATTTACAAATAATATTTTTGATAGAAAAAATTGACGCTGTGCGCCACTTGTTTAAGGCATAATTATTAATTGTCGGTAACGTCACTGTCTAGAGAGCCTCTTCTTAAGTTTTAACAGAGTGTAAGAGCTGCCGGATCGCTAAAGATCTTGTTAACAACAGGGACCTGCTTAATACATTTTAATATTATAGGTGCCACATTTTTCACCGGTTTGTGGGCGTAAGAGTGGGTATGGCCGAATAATAATTCACGACGAGCTTCAGTGGCATCGCTAGAATACAAATGCGTTGGCCTAACTCTCAAGCTTTTATGTTATCTGAGATGTTCGGATTTTTAGTTTTCCGTTTTTTTTTGGGTATAAGAGTGAGCGTGGTCAGATGGTAAAAAAATAAAATGCAGTCGGGGCATCATTAGAAATTACGTGCTTTGTACATGTAAATTAAGAGGGTGGGTTTTATACAAAGTTTAATACTCAAATTCTATATTTTGTATACCCTCTACTTTTACATTTTACAATGTATATATTAAAATAATCCTTCAATATATATATGTATAGATATATATATATATATATATATATAATGAGCGGCAATTATGGCTTACGCTCTTATATATCTATTCTATATGGTATAACAGTGTACGTTGGTATACGACTATACAAGAAAAAAGTATTCTATACAGGTATAAAGGATAACCAATTCTACGAATAGATGACCACCCTGTCCATGTTTATCCTGAAAAATGTGTTATATTTAGTACACCATTATTAATGGTGTATAATATATTAATTATATTATATTATATAATAATATTATTATTATTATATTGTTATTATTATATTATTATTATTATTATTATATTATTATTATACACATTCGTACCTTTACATCTTACATTTCACAATGTACATAGTATTTACTTAAATTTTCCTTTAAAGCCTTTTGTTAATAACAAGAAGACGAAATGCTGTTACTCGAGTTTTACTGTGTTAAACAATTTAAAAATAATAATTTTGCTAGAAAAAATTTACACTGTGTGCCACTTGTTCAAGGCATAATTATTAATTTTCGGTTACGTCACTGTCTATATGAGCTATGTTAATAATAAGAAAATATTGGAATCCAATTAAAAATATTTTTTTTTACTTCTTATCTGTTACATTAGTAAGTCTGAAGAGCTTCTTTTTTTATTTTTTGGCAAACTATTTCATTTTATTTCTATTCAAATGCAAATACGAGTAGGCCCCTCGAGTTCAAAAATCAAATTTTTAATCTTGTAATTATTTCCGAAATCTGATTAATAGAATGACTTAAAACAGTCAGAAAATAGGATGATGAAATTTGTCAATTAAATTTTAAATTAAAAATCGAAGATTAGAGGTCAGAATAAAGGACTTTGTAGCTCTAGTACTTACAGTGTTGGCTTTAATGTGCGAAATTGACGTGGGTAAAAATCAATTCGAGGCGTAAAAATTTTAAAAATTTTGGTAACACAAAAATTTTTTTGACTATATTTATCGATTGTCACGACTTTATTTTCCTTAAGAATTGGTTTGCAGTAGCTTCTCTAAAATAAGTATTCCTAAGCCTAACTTTCTAGCTCTTATAGCTCTCCAGATCAATTTTTGGTTTTCTGTGTTTTGTTGGGGTTAGACTGAGGGTTAGGGTGGCCACTGGCCTGATGATGTAAAACGAATACGCATTCGAGGCGTCATTAGAAACATCATGCTATCTCTTATAGTTATCGAGAGATCAGCCTTTCTACACAAAGCGAAATCCGCCTTTCGAGCTTGTTGGGCGTAAGAGTCGGCAACAAATCGCGAAAAACTAAAGTCGTTGAAATTTCGGGAACTATTAGAACTAGAAAGTCCAAATTCAGTATGTATAAACTTTGGATGCCAGCACATCTTTTAGTGGTACTATTATCTGGCCACACCCACCCAAACGTCCACCAAGCTCAAAAGACGGTTTTCGCATTTTCAAGATAACCTGATATCTCGGCACAAACCGCGGAACACTGTGTCGTCTATAATAATATTAGGAATGCCTTCGTTTGACCTTGTATAACTTATTTCTGTTAATATCTATCGATTTACCAAAGATTTTTCAAATCGGAACATTTTTTCGCTACTTCATAAGTTTAGGTTATAAGGCCTCACATGGGCAGTGACGTTACTATCAGTTACTCGACACGCTTTCTCCGACCATAGGTCGGAACTAGCAAAATGAATATTCTAAAATTGTGTAAAATGATAACGGGTACCTTATAGTCGCGGCACTCGACTATAGCGTTTCCTCTTGTTTACACTTGAAAGCGGAATCGGTTGAATAAGTTGGTCAATTTACAGGCAAATCGATTCCAGTTCCTGTAATCAATGTTTCAAAATTTTAAAAAGAATTCGCAATCCAAGAAAACTAGGATTTATTTGAAGACGGATCGCGTTCAGGGAGACGGATTCAATGATTGTGAACCTAAAAGGGTTTTCTGATTCGACCTATGTCACGAAGGATTTCCAGTCGGAGGTGCGTTTTCGCTTAAGATATGGACAAGCTTGGACCAGAGGCCCACCAGGGTCAGGGGGCGCCGATGCTGAAGGGCGGCTAAACATGCCGCAAAAGTTAGTATCTAAATTCTCCAGTGCGTGTGTCGATGAACGCCATCTACGCGTTGTCCAAACTGCAAAAGGACAGTACGGATCTAATACGGTCGATGTTAAGCACGGTCAGTGTATGGCTGTATTCCGCCGCGTTCAAGCCTTGCACGTAGAATTGCAGCACTGGTTGGCATAATACATGGCGTCGAGGTTACCCGAGGAAAGCCGCAATGCTTGGCAGCACCATCAAGTAGGCGGTGCAACCGTTCCATCTTACAAGAATCATTTTTAAACGATCTGCTGGTCATAGTGGATGCGATTGAGAACCTAAGCTCGTCGTACCTGGTTGAAAAACCTTATTGGCCCTAGACCGCTACCAGAGGGAGGATATGGTAAGCAGAGCAAAATTATGTATCAATTGCCTAAATAAGTCGCATGCTCTTTCGTGCTGCACTAGTTATAAAGGCTGTCAAGTTTGTGGACGGAGCCATCACACACTGTTGAATTTCCCAGCTCTTGCTTATAACCAATCGCCGAGCCACTACCCCCGCGTCCGGTCCGACCAGTGACACCGGATCTTAGTGCACCTTAGAATTTTTCTTCGAAAAATGTTCTTCCCACTGCTCGTATCAATGTGTGATACCCGGACAACGGCCTGCACGCAGTCATAACCGCCCTGGTCGACCAAGGATCTGAGGCAACTATTGTTATTGACCAGCACCCGAACATCTATTATTGGAATAGGTCTTGAGGGCGGTCGTCAGTACTAGTGTGTATACAGTCAACTTCGAAATCAGAAGTAATTTTAACTCTGATTATACCTGTTACTCGTAGAGTAAAAGGGTATACTAGATTCGTTGAAAAGTATGTAACAGATAGAAGGAAGCTTTTGCGACTCTATAAAGTATATAGTATTCTTGATCAGGATCAATAGCGAAGTCGATTGAGCCTTGTCCGTCTGTCCGTCCATCTGTCCGTTCATATGAACGCTGAGATCTCAGGAACTATAACAGATACAAAGTTGAGATTAAGCATGAAGATTCTTGAGGTCCCAGGACAGCGCAAGTTTATTATTATTACTCTAACGCGGAAAACTGTGGCGTCTATAAGATTATTATGAATGCCTTCGTTTGACCTTGTGTAACTTATTTCTGTTAATATCTATCGATTTACCAAAGATTTTTCAAATCGGAACATTATTTCGCTCTTTATAAAGAAATTAAGTTATAAGGCCTCACATGGGCAGTGACGTCACTATAAGCATACTCAACATACTTCCTCTGACAATAGGTGGCGCATTGTGAATTTCCACTAGCAAAATAATATTTTAAAATTTTGTAAAACAGTAACGGGTATCTTATAGTCGCGGCACTCGACTATAGCGTTTCCTCTTGTTTTTCTGTTTGATTTTCCGCATTTTTGGATTTCCGTGGTTTGTGGGTGTTAGGCGGAAATTCAAAACCATGATGGCAAGGCTTGTGAAATTAGCAAACAAATAAAAGAAAGTGGAAATGCCCGGTGGAGGCGTTCAGAGAACAGGAGGAGAAACTCAGCAAGGAGGTGATAACCACGGGAGCGGTTATAATTATTAAATTTTATTACACAATAAGTCGTCACTAGAATATTGATGTCAGTGTCAGTTAAAAAAAACGCTTTTCATGGTTCTCGCAATGAGTGACGTTAGTAAAACTATAATCGGCACCAATTCCTGCTAGCAAACAAATTTTTTAAAATTGGTTAGCACAGTATCTAATCACCGCGGAACTCGTCTTCATCGTTTCTTGTTGTATTCCGAAATCATTTAACAACACTTGGTTTATAAACTTAAGTTTTACGAAATTAACTTTTAATATTAAGCTTGTATTGTTTTTGTGTTTATCGAACGATTCCAAAATAGTTGTGGTAGCTTAAAAAGCCCAAAGAAAATGAGTTCGATAAGGCTGATAATTGAACATCCCAAACAAAGCTGACAAATGCCTCCAAAAGAAACTGAAAGAATAAATTAAAATTTAAATAATTAAATTGGTCAATATAAAGCGAGCAAATGTAGTGTAACTTACCAACCAAGTCCACCCATGTGTAAATTAAGTTAGTCTTGTAGACCAACATTGAGGGTTTTTTGAAAAATACATTAAGCCACATGCCTTCGGTAATGCTTGAGTTTGGCTGGATCCAAGGCTGCTGTACACTTTTCCGCATATCGGTAACCAGGGTCAATGACTTGCAATTGTGCATGCAATCGCAAAGCAGACCGGACTCTTCCCTGCGCACATAAGGATACTCCCCAGGTTGCTCAAAGTTTTGAAGCAGGTGGTTATGGGACGCTAGACAAGGCAGATCCTTCAGTCGGCAGGCGGCATAGTCAGATGGTGGATAGAAAAGGTCCAGGGAACAGTTGCAGTATCGCAACAGGTATCGCTGTTGGCATTCGGCCTGACAGTTCTCCAGCATGTACTTCTGGCCTTCCAGGGTTTGAAAGTGCTCGCTATTTTGCTCATAGTCCATAACGCACCGTCTCCACCGTGATGGCAGGCCCAAAGTGCTGTCGTCGAAGTAATGATAAACCGCCGTGACGGCCACATTAGTGCGGGTGTAAGGCACCACATCGATGGGAAACCCGAACCACACTGAGGATTCCACTACATTAAGCTATCAAATACACAGATTTATTAAATAATTATAAACGATGGAGCTAAAGTGTGTACAGTCATAATTAAGAAATATTAAAATAATACATTTCGTTAAGTTTCAAAAGCTTATGTATACTTAAACTGTTTTGAGGAGCCCATTAATTTATACCACCCTTTTTATAAATAATTTATAATTTAACGAAAACAGCGGTGCTGTGACCGATGTGAAAGAAATACCGTGAAGATTTGAGTTTGTATGTTTCAGTTACGCAGCGCGACAACTGCGAGAGAAATCAGCGACTAGTGTGCGCTTAAACCGCCTTGTCTTCAGATAAGCAAATAATTTAGCATACACTTCTTCTTGCCAGTGATGCTGACCAAATTGTAAATAATAATTTTAGTATTCGCGATAACTGCTCCCAACATAATCAATCACCAAAAAAACAAACTTTTATGACAAAAAAAAAATTGTTGTTTTTAATATTAAAAGAAACTAAAAAGCCTTAAAAGTGTAACTGGACTTAAAATTAAAATATAAAAATGTTCTCAAGGTTACATCAATTGTAGTTAAGCTTAACAATAATGTTTAGTCTGATATTATAATACATGATTAAATATTTTAGTAAAAATTTCTACAATTTTCTAAATTAGATCAGCTGGGGTGTCCCAAAAATCTATTAACTTTATAACCATCCAAATATAAGAACTCAGAGGCCTGTACTTAAATTCTCTATGTATGTATATCCAAATCGATTTACGTTGCAGACGCAGGGTGGTTTTGGGGCCCTTTGTTACTTACGTTATGTACCAATGATCTTATTTAAGTTAGATGCTAAATACTTCCCAGGTCCGACCCAATATTGTACCCCTGTTTGAAGTACAAATGATCAGGTTTATATTGAACTTCCGAGGCTTGGAATGGGATCAAACTTAAGGTTGACGCAAGGGGCAACGTTATTTTTTAAATATTTTTTATTTTTGTATAACACAGTAGAATTGGTACTCTGCTATAGCATTTCTTCTTGTTTCGCTTTTACTTAGGTTGAAAGAAAGGCAAGCAGCATACCTATATTCGTTATCACAACTATTCCTACAATAGATCACCACTCTTAATGGCATTATGTAAATGTAAGGGATATAAAATAAACTTATAAAATTAAATATCTTGAGAGAGCGATTACATGTAAAACCAAGAGGAAACGGTATAGTCGAGTGCCACGACTATAAGATACCCGTTACTGCTTTACACAATTTTAAAATATTCATTTTGCTAGTGGGAATTCACAAGGCGCCACCTATTGTCAGAGAAAGGATATTGCGTAACGTATAGTGACGTCACTGCCCATGTGAGGCCTTATAACCTTAATTTCTTCATAAGTAGCGAAATAATGTTCCGATTTAAAAAAACTTTGGCAAATCGATAGATATTAATAGAAATAAGTTATACAAGGTCAAACGAAGGCATTCATAATATAAATTAGACGCCACAGTTTTTCGCTGTTGAAAACTTGTGACCAGTTGCATAGGCATCTTTTTTTGTTTTTAAGCCTAACTTTCTATCTCTTATAGGTCCCCAGATTTTTGCTTTTTTGGTTTTTCGGGTTTTGTGGGCGTTAAGGTGGGCGTGGCTAGATGGGAAAAAATTAATTTTCATTTGGGGCATCATAAAAACCTACATGCTTAATCCGAACTTTTTTTCTCTTATATTTACCGAGATATCAGCTTTTCTAGAAAATGCGATAACCGTCTTTTGAGCTTGATGGGCGTATGGGTGGGTGTGGCCGGATAATAGTACCATTATAAGATGCGATGGCATCTAAAGATTATACATACTGAATTTCAACTTTGTAGCTCTTGAGATTTCAGCGATTTTAGTTTTTCGCGATTTGTGGGCGTTAGAGTGGTCGTGGCAGAATGATCTGAATCTGCATGATTAATCTCATTTTTGTACCTTTTGTAGTTCCTGAGATCTCAGCGTTCATACGGACAGGCGGACGGACAGACGGACATGGCTCAATCGACTTCGCTATTGACCTTGATCAAGAATATATACTTTATAGGGTCGGAAACGCTTCCTTCTACCTGTTACATACTTTTCAATGAATCTAGTAAACCCTTTTACACTACGAGTAACGGGTATAACCTGTTCTATAAGGAAAAAAAATAAAAAAAAATTTTAGCTAGAAAATAAGACTAAACTAATTTTTAACTGCTACACAATTGCGCGAAAATAAATCAGCAATTTGGTTAACTTGAACAATGGATAGAACTAAGCTTTTAATTACAATATACGTACCAAGAACCCTTTTTGACTTGGATTTCCTGGAGCGTGGTGTGCTTCTCGAAGAAATAGCTTTAAAAGTAACCCCGTGTTAACACCGGTTTCCGAGCGCCGCCTCTGCTCCACTTCGTTAAAGGCCAGACAATATCCAAGGGGTAGGCGTCGGGGCTTAAAAAGCGAACAGCAATTTCGGGGCACTGACTGCCAGAAACAATCGCGAAAAATTTCGTCGCATCTCCAAGCCATCTCTATAACAATTTGCGTAAAGTTCAGGTGATTGAGATCTTCCAGGCGCTCACTCTGCAATGAATCAAATACGTTGAACCCGTGGAAACCTAATCCATCGTAGGCAGTAAGGATAAGATCAAAAAGACTTCCTTGGGCCGCTGTTACTTTGTATCGCCGTTTAATTTCCGGTAGCCGAGACCAGTTTAGTCGATTCTTGTTGCAGATAATGACTACTGGAAAAGCGATATTATAAATTGATGCATGTGAATGGGCTACAATGGTTTGAAACTGTTGATTCTGATATCGTTTTCCCAATAAATAACTAACATAGAGTAGAACACTGCAGGCGCTGATTAATGCTATGGACCACATAATTCTGTCGACAATAATTGGTTTATTCTGAAATCGTTCTTAAGTACAGATTAAGAGTAGTAGATTCTCACCGCATACGCCGCCGCATCGTCGGTAAAAAGAGCAAGTATACTCCATGTATGTGTGATCTGGATATGTAACTATTAAGTAGAAGAGTCCACGCGTTGTTTGATTTTAACCTCATAGCCGCCAAAGCTTTTTGGCTCTCTTGCCGTTTATGGGCCGGCATGGTTATCGTTTCCTTACCAATTGAATCAAACATCAGTTCCCCTTATTGGGGAGGTCATTGCTTTTATAGACAGACTGGGGGAGTTCTGAGTCTTGTAAGGTTTGAATATATGAGTCACTTAATCCAATAGATTTATGCAATTCTTAACTTAGGGCAGCTAAGGAGATGAAATTTTCAAATTTTCAAAAAACGCATCAGTAAAAACAAAGGATTAAGGTGGCATTAGGCTGGATGTCGTTTTAAATTTTGATTAAAGTATAGAACATACTCATGAAATAATCTTAGGGTATTAAAAAAGTCGCATACACATTACGTTTTATACATTCTATCCCACTATCGGTCATTTTACATCGCTGTGTACAAATCAATTTCGATTGATTGCATTTAATTAATTTTATTTTACTGTTAATAAGACTTTGCTGTTGGGTGCACATCAAGATTATTCCCTTGGGAGAATGCAATCGATTGACCTGACCTTTCGGTGACAGCTAGGTTATTTGGCCATGGGGTTAATGAGGTGCCAGCACGGCAATCGCGTATTGTGCCGTAAAAGGCATTTAATTAACTCTGCATTTTCACACGCATTTCTTTAATAGATAGTGGTATAAAAACTTCTGTTTGCGTCCGAATAGACTCAGTGAGTATTGTGCCGACATGACGCTGGTTTACTTTCCTCCGTCAAAACAGCAGCCATCGCAAACGAATCGCCTGACCCATCAATTGGTCCAGTCCGCGTGGCAACTCGCCTTGCGCTTTGGCAAACGCACCACTATCCATGGCCTGGACAGACTTTTGAGCGCCAAAGCTAGTGGGTGGGAGCGCTTTGTCTGGCTTTGCACATTTGTGAGTGCATTCTTGGGGGCGGTTTATGTGTGCCTCATACTATCGGCTCGTTACAATGCCGCCCACTTCCAGACTGTTGTCGATAGCACGCGATTTCCTGTTTACCGTATACCTTTTCCGGTAATTACAATCTGTAATCGAAACCGCCTCAACTGGCAGCGCCTTGCAGAAGCAAAGTCAATGTTTATGGCGAACTTCAGCGACTCCGCTCAAATTTCACTCTTTGATCGCATTGTGAGCAGTTACGACAACGCTTACTTTGGCCACTTCCAATCCTTTGAACGGTTGCGCAACCAACCTACAGAGCTGCTGAACTACATTAATTTTAGTCAGGTGGTGGACTTCATGACATGGCGGTGCAACGAATTGCTTTCAAATTGTATGTGGCGGCATTACGCCTATAACTGCTGCGACATCTTCTCAAAGAGGCGTAGCAAGAACGGCCTGTGCTGGGCGTTCAACTCCTTGGAGACGGATGAGGGAAAGCGGATGCAGTTGAACGATCCCATGTGGCCCTGGCGAACGGGATCGGCCGGTCCCATGAGTGCCCTCTCCGTACGGGTACTTATCCAGTCCTTAAAGCACTGGCCGGGCAACAAAGAAAAGGACGCACTGAAAGGCATCGATGTTATGGTAACTGAGCCGTACGTGTGGCACAACAATCCTTTTTACATTCCAGCAAATACAGAGACGACCCTGGAGATAGAGCCCATCATATATTTCTATGACAATGACACACGAGGAGTTCGCTCCGACCAGCGCCAGTGTGTGTTCGATGTGAGTAGCGGTCAGGTTTAGCTTAATGAAGTTATTTTCCAATTTGTACTTATCTTCGATCCGTGTTCTTGGCATTTCCCAAGGATGAACATAACAGCAAAGACTTCAAATCCCTGCAAGGATACGTTTACATGATTGAAAATTGCCTATCTGAGTGTCATCAAGAGTATTTAGTGCGATACTGTAATTGTACAATGGACCTGCTCTTTCCACCGGGTGAGCACAATTAGAACTTAGCCTTTCTAACTCATCCAATAATATCAACTTCTGTCCAGGTCAATATCGGTCATGCCGAGCGCAGGATTTGCTATGCCTTGCCGAGCACAATGGTAGGTACACAAAAAGAGATTAGAAACATGTGTTGCATTTGATCAAAATAATGTAACAGGGAGATGAATGGGGAGTATCCGACAAAAATCACTAGCAAATTAGATTAAGCCGTATTCCTGGTTACTATTAGAGCTAGAAAATTTGGATAATTATGCAGATTATATAAACGTAATGTTAATCAACAACCGATAACAAATTTTTAGTCATTTGAATGCCCGTATCTCGAAAGTAACAAACCCTTGTGTGTATTCGTTAAAAAGTATTTATCAGGCAGAAGACCATGTTTCCGACCACACAAAGTATATATATCCTGGATCCGGATCAATAGCGTGTTGATTTAGTCTTGAAGGGTTGACCGACCGTACGCCTGGCCTTCTGCCAATATGAGCGCTGAAAAACTAAAAACGCTGAGATCTCGGGAACGAAAAACTATGTTTTGGTTTGACCTCAATAAGGATTTCTTGTCAAAAACTCAAAGCAGAACATTATAGGTATTTACATGCTTAATACACATTTAGTAGTTCTGGCAATATGGGGCGCTGGTAAAATTATGTACGTGTCAATTTCTGGTAGCATCATTTTTATACCAGTTATTCTTAAAGTATATAATAATAATTTTGAAAATTATATTGATTTGACCTTAGATAACATAAATACAGGTGCAGAACTCGTCTCCTGTTTTACATCAACCCATTACATGTGCAATAACAACATCACCAGAAAAATATAGTTGCCCGTCATCATTTCCACTTAAGATGTGGGCTTTAATTCCAGGTTCTAGCTTTCATTCTTCTCTATATAAGAAGAAGCGAGTTCCGTGACTATCAGATACCAATACGAATTTAAAATTAATGATATTAGTCGAAGTTTATTTTACTAGCGCCATCCATTTCTAGTTTCTGTTTTAATATAATGTTTTAATTTGATAAATGTATGCACCCCACAATTAGTCGATTAGAATCTGCAATTTTAATTCCAAAATTAAAGTTCTTAAGACCTCAGCGTATATAGTTCTTCGTGGTTTCACATCTTACTTATTTTTATCTGGATATCTGATAGTTGACGAATATATTGTACTAAAGAGATTCTTCTTGTTTCTTATCAACCTTTGTTATTAACCAAGCTGAAACCCATACCTTTTGCCCGCAGACTTGCTAGTCTACTCTCACCAACCAGGAGAAAAGCCCTTTGTTCGCAACAACATTAAGGGCATGTCATGCAAATGCTTTCGCAACTGTTACTCCTTGAACTACATTAGCGATGTCCGCCCCGCATTTCTTCCACCGGACCTTTATGCGAATGGTTCATATATAGATTTGGATGTACACTACCGCTTTGAGACTCTTATGGTATATCGCACAAGCCTCATCTTCGGTTGGGTGGACTTAATGGGTCAGTATGTAATGCTTGTTTACATATATTGTTGAACGATACAACATTAACAGAACAGATAAGCAACACCATGTCACCAAGCATATTTGGACAAAATGCAAGATCGCAGAGAAATAACTTATATCTAATACACACAGAACCCTATTATAAAGGGATTACAGATTTGCAGATATTTAACTACTACGCAGATATGCTAAAATTCTATATTTAAAGAAAGGTTAAAAAACAATTTAGATGATACTGTATGTTATAATTGCAGCAAATAACACGAAAGGGCTCATGAAGGTCAATATTTGAAGTATATATGTGAAAGTTAAAAGGTTGGAAGATAAGTGTAAGCCCTAAAGTCACATTAAATCTTCTTATCAATTATACAGAGTCAATATCACCCCTGAAAAGTTCATACAAGAAAATAGTGCTAAGCATGATTCTACGATTTACAAGAGAAGGTAAATTAAACACTAGTAGTGTAGTTTGGTAGGAAGTCAACCTTAAGTTTAGATCCCATTCCAAGATTCGTAAGCTCAATATGTACCTTATATTTCGGACTTCAAAGAGCAAAACAATATTCCACATTGTGCCAAGGAAGTGTAACTTAGTTAAATAAGACTCGTCACTATAGGCGTTATGTGGGTATGGAATTTAAGTTTTGGGTTCACATAAATCTTGCTTTTAATATACATATCAAATGACATAGAGTCAATAGAAAAATTTAAAAGCAATCAATATCTGACTGTAAGCCGATACACGAATATGCGGCACTCCAGATGCAACATAAATCGTTTTGTATGAGTCTTTCTAATTAGATAACTGGAAATCAAAGTTAATAAATTCCTTGGACATCCCGAGCTGATCTAATTTAAATAGAACAAGAAACGGTATAGTCGAGTGCCGCGACTATAAGATACCCGCTACTGTTTTACACAATTTTAAAATATTCATTTTGATAGTGGAAATTCCCAAAGCGCCACCTATTGTCGCAGAAACCATGTTGAGTAACATATAGTGACGTCACTGCCCATTTGAGGCCTTATAACCTAAATTTCTTAATAAATGGCGAAATAATTTTCCGATTTAAAAAATCTTTGTTTATACAAGGTCAAACGAAAACACACACTATAATATTATGGACGACAGAGTTTTCCGCGGTTGGACAAGTTGCAGTGGAATCTCTTAAACAAGCGTTCTTAAACACAACTTTCTAGCTCTTATACGAGTATATACATAAATGAAAAAAAAAACAATTCGCATTGGGGGCATCAGTAAGGCCTACATGCTTAATCAGAATCAGAACTTTCTATCACTTATAGTTACCGAGATACCCGCTTTTCTACAAAATGCGAAAACCGTCTTTTGAGCTTGGTGGTAAGAGTGAGTGTGGCCGGATAATTGTACCACTATAAGATGCGCTGGCATCTAAAGATTATACATACTAAATTTCAACTTTCTACCTCTAATTGTTTCTAAGAGTTCAGCGATTTTAGTTAGTCGTGATTTGTGGGCGTTAGAGTGGGCGTGGCAGGATGCTGAAATAAATTTGCGCTGTGTATGGACCTCAAGAATCTTCATGGTTAATCTCAACTTTGTATCTCCTATAGTTACTGAGATCTCAGCGTTCATACGGACAGACGGAGTCGGACTGGCAAGCGGACAGTTGGACATGGCTCAATCGACTTCGCTATTGATCCTGATCAAGAATACATATACTTTATAAGGTCGGAAAAGCTTCCTCCTATCTGTTACATACTTTTCAACGAATCGAATATACCCTTTTACTCTACGAGTAACGGGTATAAAAAGCGGATGCTACACATATTCAAAGTACTTACTAAAATCAGAAATCATGTATACGTATATAAATATATAACATCAGTCTAAATTGGCTGTTAAGCCAAGTCTCGGAAAATGCTACTCGTTGCTACTCTCGCTGAAAGCAGAAAATTCAACATGTATATAGCTAGCGAAAAGGATATTTAAAATATAACTAATAAGGCGCATCGATTTTTATTATTTTAAATTATATGCGATAGAGCGTAGTTAGTCCAAGATTAATTTTTACAAATTTAAAATCCGTAAATAAAAAATCGGTTAAACATTTATACACAGCTTAATTGTTTTCGAACTTATACTCTTAAAAAAAATCGCCAACTTTTGTCAGAAAAAGCATCTTGAGTAACTGATGGTGACGTCACTGATTATGTAAGGCCTTATAACCTATGTTTCTTCATAAATAGCGAAATTATATTCCGATTTAAAAAATCTTTGACAAAAAAAATGTTAAACAAGGTCAACGAAGACATGCATTGTAATATTCTGGACGATCAGTTTTCCGGGTTCTGTGAGGGCATCATAAAAAACTACATGCGTAATCCCAACTGTCACTTATAGTTACAGATATATCAGCTTTTCTACAAAAACCGAAAACCGTCTTTCGATCTTTGTGGGCGTATACCTCTATATATGGTACCACCATAAGATGCGCTGACATCTCAAGAGTATACATACTTAATCCCAACTTCCTAGCTTTAATATTTCCAGAGATTTCAGCGATTTTAGTTTTCCGTGATTTGTGGGCGTTATGAAGGGCATGGCAGGATGCTGATATATACTTACGCTTCATAGGGTCCTCGGGAATCTTCATGCTTAATCTCAATTTTGCATCTCTTATAGTTCCTGAGATTTTAGCGTTCATACGTATAGACGGGCGGACGGACGGACTGACAGACGGGCGGACAAATTGACAATTGATTATTCTTTAGCCTGTTTTTCCATCCTAGCGTTAATCGATTATGGAGTGCACACCAATTCGACCAAAGGGTCTTGATAAATCATTGGTGTAGTAATAGAGTAAAAGGGCATATTGTATTCGTTAAGAAGGAAGCGTTTCCTACACTTTCCGATTCTTTATCAGGATCAATAGTCGAGTCCGTACGATCGCTAAGATCTCCGGAACTATAAGAGGTAAAAAGTTAGAATTAACCTTACAGATTCTTCAGATGCCTACGCATAGAAAGTTTATTTCAGCCTGAAACGCCCACTCCTATGCCCACGAGATGAGATGAGACTAGACTTTTTAACGAATGCAAACTGCTCTTCTACTCTCGCTTCCCTTCCTGCTTTAGATCATACCTCATTAACAGCAATTCATAAATAAATGTCAAAAAAAAGTTCACGAACTCCTTATTCTCTTTTCTTTAATTTTCAAGAAGAATTTAAAATATCTCCTAAAATATTTCTGAAAACCTGTGCAGTTTTTTCTTTAAATGCAAAACTGTGAGTTGTGTTATGATAGTTTTTTTGTTTAGCATTTTGTTTTTGTTGTTTGTTTTTAATGAACTCGTCCTATATAAGATTATTGTACCCGTTACTGGTAGAATTAAAGGGTATATTCGATTCGTTGAAAAGTATGTATGTCCGTCTGTCCGTAGGAACGCTGAGACATCTGAAACTATAAACAGATACAAACTTGAGCTTAAGCATGACGGTTCTTGAGGTCCCTGGACAGCGCAAGTTTATTTCAGCATCCTGACACGCCCACTCTAACGCCCACAAATCACGAAAAACTAAAATTGCCTAAATCTCAAGAACTATTTGAGCTAGAAAGTCAGTATGAAATTCAGTATGTATAATCTTGGGATGCCAGCGCATCTTATAGTGGTACCATTATCCGGCCACACCCACCCATATGCCCACAAGGCTCAGAAGACGGATTTCGCATATTCTAGAAAAGCGGATATCTCGGTAACTATAAGTGATGGAAAGTTCGGATTAAGCATGTAGGTTTTTATGATGCCCCCAATGCGAATTGTTTTTTTTTTCGATCAAGCTACGCCCACTCTAACGCCCACAAAACCCGAAAAACCAAAACTGCAAAAATATCGGGACCTATAAGAGCTCGAAAGTTAGGCACGTTAAACACATATTTTAAAGATTCCAATGCAACTTTTCGCGAGTTTTCATCCGGCCTCGCCCATTCTAACGCCCACAAAACCCGAAAAACCTTGCAAAAATTGTGGCGTCTATAATATTATTATGAATGCCTTCGTTTGACCTTGTATAACTTATTTATGTTAATATCTATCGATTTGTCAAAGATTTTTTAAATCGGAACATTATTTCGCTATTTATTAAGAAATTTAGGTTATAAGGCCTCACTTGGTTTGTGACGTCACTATCAGTTACTCAACATGCTTTCTCTGACAATAGGTGGCACCTTGTGAAAGACAGTAACGGGTATCTTATAGTCGCGGGACTCGACTATAGCGTTTCCTCTTTTGGTTTTTTAATCTTTTCAGTTAGCTTTGGTGGAATTGCTGGTCTGTTTCTCGGCTGCTCCTTAATTAGTGGCATGGAGTTAGCCTACTTCTTATGTATTGAGGTGCCGGCCTTTGGAGTCGATGGACTACGTCAGCGCTTGCGGCTCCGACGACAGCTAGAAATGACCATGGCAGAGCCTACTCCAACAGTGAATTTCCAGCAAACCAATCCTAGTCAGCTAATGGAGAACTACATAATGGAACTAAGAGGGGAAAAGCAGCAAGAGCAGAATGTGAACTTTCAAAATTGGCAACGAATAACGTTCGCCCAAAAGCACAATAAGTGAATGCGCAAGTGAATTATATGAGCAAAATTTTTTTCATCTTCTAAAGTGACAACTAACAAAATTATAAAATCAAACTAATTTATTTACAGTTTAGTTTTTCTCCCTTAAATTTAATGCTTATAAATATAACAACCTTTAAGTAAATGCATTGATTAGTATACAACTGTTAATGGTATTTCATTCTTATATATCTTTTAAATAATTTGGGAAAACAAAACAAGAAGAAACGCTATAGTCGAGTGCCGAGATTATAAGATATCCGTTACTGTATTACAAAATTCTAAAATATTAATTTTGCTAGTGGAAATGGACAAATCGACAACTTTTGTCAGAGAAAGCATCTTGAGTAACTGATGGTGACGTCACAGTCTATGTGAGGCTTAATAATCTACGTTTCTTCATAAATAGCGAAATATTGTTCCGATTTGAAAAATCTTTATTAAGTCGATAGATATTGACAAAAAAATGTTATACAAGCTCAAACTAAGACATACATTATAATATTATGGATGCCACAGTTTGTGGGCGTTAAAGTGGGCGTGGCCTAATAAAAACTGACGCCGAGCTGCAGTGGCATTACTAAAATAAGTATTCCTAAGCCTATCTTTCTATCTCTTATGGTTTCCCAGATTTTCATACTTTGGGTTTTGCGCGTTTTTTGGCCGTCAAAGTGGGCATGGCCAGATGATGAACAAATAATGCGCATTGGCGGCATCTTTAGAAACTACATGCTTAATCCCAAGTTATTATCGCTTATAGTTACCGGGATCTCAGCGCTTCTATAAAAATCGTTCATACGGATAGACAGACGGAAGGACGGATATGGCTTAATCGACTTTGCTATTGATACTGATCAAGAATATATGTACCTTATATGGTCGCAAAAGCTTATTTCTACCTCTTACTTACTTTTCAACGAATCTAATATACTAACTAATATACGGGTATAAATATTTAAAACTGTAGACTCTTCTGGAAATTTTTAGTTGGCAGCTCTAGCTCTTAACAGCTGAAGGCATGTGTAGTAACTCTCTATAAATTAAGCTGGCAGCCCTTTTTTAAACAGTTAGAATTGAAATGTTGTTCATTTTTTTAAGGGGTTTTTATATGATTTGCATAAGAATTTATGTAAATTATGAAATTTATGTCATCTATTCACACCAACCGTGTATAACGAGGCATTTATTTTAGTTGACAATAAGACACTGGTGCAACTGGGAATGTCTGCTCCAAACCGACCAGCTAATGACCTGCTCGGTTGTGAATTGAACGAGAAATTCTTTGATTTTTTCGAACTTAGGACATGATTTTCGACAAACAGTGCCGTTTATACCACTTTCAACACACACATTTTACACAACACACGCCATTTACAAAAATTGACTTTGAAAACCTACAACTACGACGTATCGACTAAAATATTTGCAAACACAATTAATGAATATTGAAAACGGGCGAATGCAAATTGATGAATCTACGCCAACTTGATGTCAACATCAAGAACATCACTATTCTGAATGGAATACCAGGCGAAATGACAGCATATAAATCCATCGAAACTGTGATAAATCAGGACGAAGTTGTCACCTATTTACCAGGCTTCCCACCGCTCGTTCTTACATTGAAAATTGGCGTATCCATCGTTCTCTTTCAAAATATAAAAAAAAACAAGAGGAAACGCTATAGTCGAGTGCCGCGACCATAAGATACCCGTTACTGTTTTACAAAATTTTAAAATATTATTTTGCTGGTGGAAATTCACAATGCGCCACCTATTGTCAGAGGAAATATGTTGAGTATGCTTATAGTGACGTCACTGCCCATGTGAGGCCTTATAACTTAATTTCTTTATAAAGAGCGAAATAATGTTCCGATTTAAAAAATCTTTGGTAAATCGATAGATAATAACAGAAATAAGTTATACAAGGTCAAACGAAGGTATTCATAATAATATTATAGACGCCACAGTTTTCCGCGGCGTAAGCGTGGCTTGATCGAAAAAAAAACAATTCGCATTAAAAGCATCATAAAAACCTACATGCTTAATCCGAACATTCTATCTCTTACAGTTACCGAGATATCAGCTTTTCTAGAAAATCCGAAAACCGTCTTTTGAGCCTTGTGGGCGTATGGGTGGGTGTGGCTGGGTGGATGCGCTGGCATCTACAGATTATACTTTCTGAATTTCAGTTTCAATAGTTCCTGAGATTTCAGCAATTTTATTTTTTGCGATTTGTGGGCTTTTGAGTGGGCTTGGCAGGATGCTGAAATAAACTTGCACTGTCCCGGGACCTCAAGAATCTTCATGGTTAATCTCAACTTTGTATCTGTTATAGTTCCTGAGATCTCAGCGTTCATACGGACGGACGGACGGACGGACGGACGGACGCACGGACGGACAGACGGACATGGCTCAATCGACTTCGCTATTGATCCTGATCAAGAATATATATACTTTATAGGGTCGCAAACGCTTCCTTCTATCTATTACATACTTTTCAACGAATCTAATATACCCTTTTACTCTACGAGTAACGGGTGCTGAATTTGCATCTCAAAAATTATAAGTGTACACGTTTAATCTGAAGCCAATAGACCTTATAGTTCCTAGAATCTTACCTTTTTTAGTTTTCCGCGGAAAAAAAATCTGGGGCGTTTATAATATTATAGTCAAAGTCTTCGTTTGACCTTGATTAACATTTTTCGCCAATATCTATCGATTTGCTAAAGATTTTTTAAATAGGAATATAATTTCGCTATTATGAAGAAACATAGGTTCTAAGACCTCACATGGGCAGTGACGTCACTATCAGTTACTCAACATGCGTTTCTTCTTGTTTTTAACCATATCTATCGAGTAACGGGTATACTATAATCGTTGAAAAGTATGTAACAGGTAGAAGGAAGCGTTTCCGAACCTAGAAGGTATATATATACTTGATCAGGATCAATAGTGAAGTCGATTGAGCCATGTCCGTCTGTCCGACCGTCTGTCCATCTCAAAAATCTCAGGAATTATAAAAGATACAAAGATTGAGATTAAGCATGAAGAAAATTTAGTATGTATAATTTTTAGATGCCAGCGCATCTTATAGTGGTATCATTATCTGGCCACACCTACTCTTACGCCCACCAAGCTCAAAAGACGATTTTCGCATTTTGTAGAAAAGCTGATATCTCGGTAACTATAAGTAATAGAAAGTTCTGGTTAAGCATGTAGGTTTTTATGGTGCCCCCAATGCGAATTGTTATTTTCTGATCAAGTCACGCTCACTCTAACGCCCGAAAACCCAAAACTGCGAAAATCTCGTGAACGATAAGAGCTAGAAAGTTGTGCTTACAAATACGTATTTAAGAGATGCCACTGCAACTTGCCCCTAGTTTTCATTCGGCTACGCCCACTCTAACGCCCACAAGCCGCGGATATCTGTGGCGTGAACTGTGAAGAAATTTAGGTTATAAGGTACACAACATGCTTTTTCTGACAAAAGATAGCGCTTTGTGTATTTCCACTAGCAAAAAGACTATAACGTTTCTTCTTGTTTATTTTCTGTAAATGCTCGCCCATAAGCTTCCTCTAAAAAATTTTCGCCCTGTTTCCGCCTCATTCCGTCGCTAACTGCAATATAATTTGATCTTGTTATGTTTCTTTTTCATGGATTATCCTCTAACATGTGCACTGTAATTCATTCTTTATAAATTCTGTTTGCATTTTAGAGTTTATTTTTCACTGGACGAGGTGAGAGTTTTAAAGTAAGTGATAAATTGGTTATCAAAAAAAGTGTTTTTCATTCGCTCAGTGATCGTTTTCTGGTATTTGTGTTAGTAAATGTTCCGCAGAGAGGCGAAATTGAGCACCCCTGCTTTATACCTTTCATTCTACCGGTTACATACAATTCGAGTTATGGGTATAAAAATATTAAAACCGGTGCGAGAGAGAGTATAGATGGAGATCACACAAACATGAAATAATTAATAATTAGATTTCAGTTGATGTATGATGTAGGCCACTTTATAGTATAAATACATAAATAGAATAATTGATAAGAAAAAACATTTGGAAGTTATTTAACGACCATCGATGCCAACGATTAGCTAAATTTTGGTTTAAACTCTGCAGTGTTTTTTTATGCATCAGGCGAATCGCAAAACTGTCGTATCACTGCGAATGAATAATAAACATATGAAATTTCGGTAGCTGAACCTATAGGTAGACTACTGTAAAACAAAAAGTTTTAAAACCAAAGAAAAAAATTTATTTTATTAAAACTAACTACTTTTATTCAATTACACTAAAATAAAAATTAGAATTAATATGTTAAAAATAAATTAATCAGAATAATATTATATAGTCTACAAAGTATAGTCTGAAAAGTAAAGCCTAATAACTTTTTTTTAAACACAAAAAGCCCCAAATGTACGGAAAATACAGTCCACCCTAACGCGTATACAAAAGCACAATCAGGTGGAAGAGTTGATAGCACAAACACTTAGCGAATACCGGGTCTGTTGACCCATTGACAGGCGGTGTTCCAGCGGCCTAACACCGCCTGTCATTGAATTGAGGTATCAACTATCACAACTTTTAGCTGAGAAGTTATGACGTGGTCGTATGAATTCGTCCAACAGGTTATCACCACCACAACAAAAAAAAAGAAGACGAGTAAAGAAAATTCACTACGACTTCGTCATCCACAAGCACGAGTATTTCCATATCTTTTATTAGATTCAAGTTACTATGCAAAAGTTAAAAGGTGATACTAGACAATTGAGATGATATATTAATATATAATCAAAGATAAACGTAAAATCTTATTCGACCAACTAAAAACTACTTTTGATATATTATTTTAGTGATATGCTTTTAAGGCATTAGAAAAAATATAGAAGTAAATAATGCCACAAAATAAATTGTTAAGGTAAAGAAATTTTAATAAAAATGATTTATTATTTTAAATTAAATTAGATTTATTATTTTTTTTTATAAGGCGATTCAAATTAAAAAATTATAAATTACTGTGCCTTTTTATATTTATATTCTGACTATTTCATATTAAGCTTATTGAGAATGTATCTATGGTCGAAGAACGAATTCTAATAAAATTGAAACACTGTATTGTTTAACGCTTAATCAGTACATCTTGATGATGACATGATGGACATTTATAAAGCCCGAAATTGTGCCCACTATAACGAACACATATAAAATGAGACGTTCTACGTCGCCGTCAAATCAGTTCGCTCCGAAACGCAAGCCCTTGGGTGTCTCTCGAACGACATATAGTAAGTTATAACTTACACACTTTGAAATGGCAGTCATACAAAACAAACAGAAGATATCAGTGCCTGAGTATCTGAATGAACAGTTTTTCACGGAGACCCTTGAAGACGGTCTGAGAGAGTCAAAAGTAACCGTAAAGGAAATCATTTTTGACTGGGGCAGCAACCCTGGGGACAACTACTGCTCGGCTATTTATCGGGTCGAACTTACCTTCTCGAAGTGGGTTAATGGAGCTGAATCCACAGCAACGGACAAGCTTTCTCTGATTGTTAAAACGATTCCGATTACTGAAGCAACTCAGTTTCTAGAGGACGTCAGTGTTTTCATCAAGGAGAAGCAGACCTACACAGACGTCCTGCCCCGATTGGAAATCCTGAGTCGTGGAGATAGATTTGGAGCCAAGTAAGTGGATTGAGTAAAAGTTTCAGTTAAAATTATACAGATAAGAAATGATATTTTATTGTAGGTATTATCACTCCGTAAAGACCCCTGTTCAGACAATTGTATTTAGCGATCTGAAAGTCGAGGGATATAAAGTGTCGTCACGAGAAGCAGGCCTTGACTGGCACCATGCCTCCCTTATCCTTCAGCAGCTAGGAAAATTTCATGCCACATCCATGGTACTGGCCAAAAAGGTAAGAGTGATAACACTGTATAATATAAAACATTTATCTGACAAGGTTTTGTAACCATACAGGATCCACGAATTGTGGAGAAGTACTCACGTGGCATGCTCAGCGAAGACATATTGATGAAGAGCGACACCTTTGAGCATATGTTTGGAGGCTTCCTAAAGGGTCTCATCAAAAGTTCAGCCAGTTGGCCTGGCTTTGAAAAAATAACCAAAAACCTACAGCGCCTTATGGACAACTTTCGATCTGTATGCGTGGCTGCAGCCAAACCAAAGAATGGTGATCGGTACGTGGTACTCAATCATGGTGACATGTGGACCAACAACTTTATGTACGCCTACGAGAACGCTTCACAGCCTGAAGTACCTACGCGTGCTATCTTTGTGGACTTTCAGCTCAGCTTTTACGGTAGTCCAGCTTGCGACCTGAATTTCTTCCTAAACACCAGCCTTAAGCTTGAATTGCTGCAAGAGCGCCGTGAGGATCTAATTAAGGTGTACTACGCGGCATTTAAGGATGCTTTAAAGTACGCCCGCTTTGAGGACATCCCCACATTCGAGGACCTGCAGTATGAACTGCGAAGTCGCGAGACCTACGGACTATTTGGGTTGTTCGCTTTTCTACCTATGATTACTATGCCCAAAGAATTAGCTCAGGACAACAGCATAGAGAACATGCAGGACGAAGCTTTTAAGCAACGTAAGATGGATGCCATTTTTTCGCAAACATTTTTAAACAACTACCAGAAGTGGGCCTTGCAACGAGCAGATTCTCTAGGAGTCTTTGGCGACTATTAAAAGTTGTTTTGCCATTAAACTTTGTGATAACAATTGGACATGTGAATTTTAAATGTACTCATGTTTAAACAGAATCATAAGTTTAGCTATCCATAATGTATACACCCTGATATGTTAGCAAAAATAGATCATTTAATAGACCAGTCGGACGAAGGCACACATTTGTCAACACATGCAGCCTGATCTTGGTGGCTACCTCCAGATTCATACCCGGATAGGATTACTTGATTCACGATATCAGAAGTTGCTATTTCAATGGGATTTAAGAAGCATGGTTCTTCATAAATTCCGAAATAATGTTCATATTTGAAAAATCTTTGGTAAGTCGCTAGATAGTGACAAAAATATGTTATACAAGGTCAAACGAAGACATACATTATAATATTATGAACGCCACAGTTTTCCGAGATTTGTGGGCATTATAGTGGGCGTGGCAGGTTGCTAAAATAAACTTGCACTGCGTATGGACCTCAAGAATCTGCCTGTATCTCTTATAGTTCCTTAGATCTCAGCGTTCATACGGACAGACGGGCATAACCTAATCGACTTCGCTATTGATACTGATCATGAATATATGTACTTTATAGAGTCGGAAACGCTTCCTTATAATCTCTGGGCTTAGATCTTTAGCGTCTGTCTTCGCAAAGGATTGACGATCGACTCTCTAGTAAGGCTAAGTTTAAGATTCGCCAAATTTAACCGAATCTGATAACATTTATACTAAATAATCATAACGGGAAGGCGAGTTCACGGCGGTTCCTTCGCCAACCTTTAAAAACGTATGAGCTTGTCCAAAACAGAAAAAAATAATGCCTGGCTTGTTTCCAAATTAAAAGGGAACTTCAATTTTAATTTTCGGTCCTATTCCGTAAAGATTTAGTTTGTAGATCAGTTAAGATTTATCTGTTAACTTATGCTGAAATCAGTCGAAGTAGATTGCTTAACTCCGGCCGGAACTGCTAATGCATCATTTTGACCAAAATGCACAGGGGGCCCCTGAGAATCGATTATTACCTTTAAGTCTAGACAAGAGTAACAATAAATCTTTTCACAACTCGGTAAATTCTCGTTGTCCTAGCGGTAAGTTCAGCTTTGGCTTAGGGCGCCGACAGATATGTGTAAATTTAACGGGCGTGATTCTTATACCGACCAGATGGCGCTGTGTGCAGTCGGCACTCCGCCAAGAAGTATATACGCTCATAAAGTGTAGTTCATGTTTGTGTTATATTAAAAAGCATAAGCTCATATAACTCGGCCATCACGGATATAATTCTATATTTCGTATTAAAGGAAACAGCTGGCAAAAGAAGGACAGTCAATCTGTATATTATATCCAAGATATAATGGGACGATACTTGATCGACCGACTTTTGACTAATGCGAAAAATCGTACTAGGCTGCCAATCCTAGTCAGGTCGGAATCGCTTTTTATTACTAGTTTCATACTTTTGAACGAATACGTTATACTACCTTACTTTACAAGTAACGGGTATCATACGCGGTCAATCGTTGCAAGTGTAAGCCAAGAAAATACGAAAGTATTAATATATTGTTTCCAATGCCGTATATATAAGCAACAGAAGCTTGACTTCTCTACATTGCGTGTTTTACCAATATCAGAAGTGATTTTATACTTTAAGTACAATTTAAGTGAATACATATAATTATAATTAATTGTATTTTTGGATTTAATTGAGCAAGACTCGCAGTGACACGTAAATATAAATAGTGAACTGCAGGCTTGCTACTTTTAAAACGATTGCAAAATGTGTAGCGTTGTGTTTGATGCGGACGTGTTTCATCCACCTAGCCACCTGGACGTGCCCTTTTTCGAGGAAGTGCTGGAAACGGCCCTGCGAACAACAAAGGTAAAGCTGGTGGCCGTACATATTCGAAAGGGAAGTAGCACCGGTGAAAACTACTGCAGTCAGATCTACCGGGCAAATGTGTCCTTCACTAGCTCAGATCATCCTGCTCAGAACATGGTATTTATTGTGAAGAGCATTCCTCACCTGGATTCCGTGGAGTTTATTGTTGATCTACAAGTGTACCTTAAAGAGAAGATAACGTACTTCGAGGTTCTTCCGCGGATGGAGCTTATGATGAGGTGCAACCGACGCTTCGGACCCAAGTGAGTGATATTTAAAGAAATTACGAGAAAGAAATTTCTTTTAACGACAGGTAATAAAAACATAACTACAAATAAAAATAGTGTACGTGTTATAACTATACGTTTGACAGTACAAAACATATATTTTTCAAAGCATACGTAAAAGTAGACAAATTAGACGTAGGCACCGCGCAGAAACAGAATTGACCCTAGGCCAAGAGATAACAAATGGGGGAATAGAAATTGAATTTCATAGAATAAAATAAGCGGCGAATTTTCGATATTTATTTATTTAAAATAAACTCGGCTGGAAAAAAAACTTTAAAAAACTTATTGTTTGGAGGTAATGTGATGTCCATTCGACAACGCAAAATTGTGTTTGTTTGATTTGTATTTATGTAATCATAATTTAAAAGGTGTTGTTTTACTTGACTTACTGTTTCTTAAGATTTTTTTTATCATTAGTATGTTTTAAACAGTGAAATCCTTTTGCTTTCAAACAGACTATATAAGTGCATGAAACAACCGGAAAACACTCTTGTGTTCGAGGATCTTGGCGATTTGGGCTACGTAATGGCCTCCCGCGAATTAGGCTTGGACGAGGAGCACTGTCAGCTGGTCATGGAGCGTTTAGCAGAGTTTCACGCCTCTTCGATGGCTTTGGCAGTTCTGGTGAGTTGATTTAAACGGAGACCGATAATAGTTTTATATGGCTACTTCGACGTTTACAGGATCCCCACATATTTGATTTTTACGCCGACGGCATGCTATCGCCGAAAGCACTTGAAGAGGACGGCTTACTGATGCGTTTCTTCTCAAGCAATGGCAAGGAACTGCATTCACTTGTGAGTTCATGGCCTGGCTTCGATCGAATCGCCGGGAAGATCGAAAACTATATGATGAACCAGCGGGCTAATTTGGAACGCAGTCAAGCTCCGCTGGAGAAGGAGGTTAAAGTACTTAACCACGGTGACTTGTGGGTAAACAATTTGCTATTTAAGTATGACACAGCGAATCGTCCGCTGGACCTTATCCTCATCGACTTTCAGCTGAGCATATGGGGCAGTCCAGGAATAGACTTAAATTATTTTTTTTATACCAGCCTTTCCTTGGATGTGCTGGTTAACCAACGGACCAAGTTACTGCGGTCTTACCACGATAAGCTGTCAAAAACTCTGCTAAATCTCGACATGGGCGTCCCGGTCCCCAGCTTCGAGCAGATCTTAGAAGAAGTCGAACGCCGCGAAGCCTACGGATTCTTCGCCAGTTACGGCATCCTTCCCACTATCAGTCAGAATAAGGCCCAAACCACTGACAACAATCTGAACAACTTTAATGACGCAGACTTTGCAAAGCAGAAGGTTCGTCAGATGTTTACGTCCCGGCGACTGGCAGAGACTTTGCGCTACTCGTTGCCGCACTTCGAACGAGCTGGCGTTTTCGATTGAATTGTTTTTAAACTCATAAACAGATGAGACAAGTTTTTGTAACAAAATAACATATTAGTGCGCCCAAAGAAGAATTTCTGGACATGATTTTGAAACTTTCCCAATATTCTTTTTTTAAAAAGCCGCTTGCACAATCTAAGGGTTAAGAGTTTTACTTATTAATATTAAAAATATATTTTAAAAAATTTAAAAAAATACGATAAAAAGTTATAATTGAAATTAAAAAAAATAAAAAATAGGAATATAATAGTGAAAGGTTGTCTTAAACACCGCTCGAGTAGAAGCCTCTAACCGCTACACCACAGCCCCAAACAGGAATGACCGACTAACTGAGAGTATGCCAAATCTGCGGGTTTCCATATCAAAGCCCACAATAGAATAACTTTTTTGTAGCTCATGCTATAGTTTGGTTTAATATTCATTGTTGGTGCCCAATGTTTCCTCTAGACAGTAAACAGTTAGTCAGACAATCAGGGAGACAGACAGACAGATAGAAAGACAGACTGACAGATAGAAAGGCAGACAGGCTGACTGACAGTCAAACTAGGCAGACTAAGTGACTAAGACAGACACACAGACAAATCTCAGTCTGGATACGACAGACAGTTAATCAGGCGGACAGATATACGGCAGGCTGACTGACAGACAGACAGACTGGCAGGCAGACAAACAGTCAGTCATCTTGCAGGACTCAATGAATTTAAAAAATTTGTACCTTCACTTTTAGTTTTAAAGTTAAATATACAAAAAGTATCAAATAATTTATATCTGTGGAAAAATAAAACCAATTCCCAAAAACCCATGGAATGTTGAGAGTGACGGTATACTCTAAGCGAATTTAAAAAAAAAAACTACTTGATTTTGCACCATAACAATCGCCATCTCACAGAACCAATTTTTCGTAATGTTACATAAGCCATAAAATTATAACAAAATTTCTTTTGACTTCTTTCTGCACAATCCTAGGGGGATCAGTATCCGTAAGGAAGTAACGTAAAATTGCAGAAGGCCCTAAAAGCCGAATTACAATTTCCAGAATTTAAAAATTGTGCCTTCTTATTATCAAATAAAGCATGTTTAGTAACTGATAGTGATACCACATTTTTATACCCGTTACTCGTAGAGTAAAAGGGTATACTAGATTCGTTAAAAGGATGTAACAGATAAAAGGAAGCGTTTCCGACCCTATAAAGTATATTCTTGTTCTTGATCAGGATCAATAGCGAAGTCGATTGAGCCCCGTCTGTCTGTCCGTTCATTCGTCCGTCCGTCCGTATGTCCATCCGTCCGTATGAACGCTGAGATCTCAGGAACTATAGCAGATACAAAGTTGAGATTAAGCATAAAGATTCTTGAGGTTTTTCTTCATCTAGCCACGCTCACCCTAACGCCCACAAAACCCGAAAAACCAAAAATGCAAAAATCTCGGGAACTAAAAAGACCTAGAAAGTTAGGCTTAAGAATACGTATTTTAGGGTTGCCACTGCAACTTCCCACGAGTTTTTATCTGGCCACGCCCACTCTAACGGCCCACAATCCGCGGAACCCTGTGGCGTCTATAATAATATTATGAATGCCTTCGTTTGACCTTGTATAACTTATTTCTGTTAATATCTATCGATTTACCAAAGATTTTTCAGATCGGAACATTTTTCGCTACTTATGAAGAAATTTAGGTTATAAGGCAGTGACGTCACTATCAGTTACTCGACATGCTTTCTCCGACAATAGGTGGCGCTTGGGTGATTTCTACTAGCAAAGTGAATATTTTAAAATTGTGTAAAACAGTAACGGGTATCTTATAGTCGCGGCACTCGACTATAGCGCTTCCTTTTGTTCCGTTTGTGGATGTCAGAGTGGGCGTGGCCGATTGAAAAATCGACTCGAGTTGCGATGCAATTCTAATAGTAAGTATATAGATTTTAGCGGGTTTGGTTTTCTGCGTTTTATGGGGATAGAATAAGTGTGGTCAGATGTAGAAAAAAACAATACTATTTGGTGCTATTATTAAAAACTTCATGCCTAATCCAAAATTTCAATCACTTATAAATAACGATATTTTAGGGATCTTAGAGAATGCGGGTGCCATTTTTCGCCGTTGGTGGGCGTAAGCGTGGGCGTGGCCAGATAATGGTACCACATTGAGATGCGCTGGTATCTGAAGAATATACATGCTTAGACCCAACTATAGATCCTATAGTTCCTAAGATCTCAGCGTTCATACAGACAGACGGACATGACCAAATTGACTCGGCTATTGATCCTGATCCTAATAGGGTCGGAAAAGCTTTCTTCCACCTGTTACATACTTATCAACGAATTCAATATACCCTTTTACAGCCCGAGTAACGTGCTTTACAACTGTTTTACAATTTTCGTCTGTTGAACACATCCATAACTTTTTTCGATAAGTGTGCAGTCGTTCTGGATATTGTTGTAATTACAGTTTAACCAGGAATGTGGCATTATCAAGTATGGTGGAGGCTACACAGACATTTATTTTCGGGCAATCATACGTCTTGTTCACAAGATTTGTGTATTCGTTCAAATGGAGTTTCGATTTAACAAAATCAAAAAAGTGTTGTTTTAGAGAACAAAAGATTTCACGATGCTTGTACGGTAGCTCTATAGTTTAAGTATTCTGTTGATTTTAATACTGCTAAAAACAGTAGGAAGTCACCTGAAATTTTGTAAAGAATGAATTGGGACTAATTTATAATTTTTTAGCTATAAAAAATCAACCGTATTTTATTTTATTATTGACAGAAATAGAATTGTAATCATTTTAAATTGCACATGAGGAATAACTTGAACTAATCTGCACTTGCTACTTAAATAACAACCTGTTACTAGCTCATTATATTATTTAGATTTCGTCAAATTTTGCCCAATTGAACAGTCCACGGTCAAAATAAGCGTCAATTAAATTACGTATATTCTTAATCATTACTAATTTGTTTGTTGAACTGTAGCAGATGTTCCCAAACCAAATATTACGTTTATATAGCTTATTTAACTAAAGAAGTTACGCTTATTGCTTATTGACCAGATTAGCTCCAGACATCAGCCGAGTAGCGCTTCTGAGCCTCCATCTTCTTTATATACTGCACGGCGTCAGCCTCCGTCATGTTTCCTCTGGTGGACAGAACTTTCACTAAAATGTTCCTAACGTCGACGGCCATGTTCTTCGCATCGCTGAATAAGTAGAATAAATAAAGTATTTCAGCATTTTATGGTTGTTCACTAAAAACTTACCCGCATATGTAAAAATGCCCCTTGTTTTCGCCAATTACTTTCCATATTAGATCTGCGTCCTGTTCAAGCAGATGCTGTACATAAACCTTTTTCGCCTGGTCACGGGAAAAGGCGGCCTTAAGGGTAAGCGTGCCCTTCTTAACCCACTCCTCCAATTCGGTTTCGTAGATAAAGTCTTCGCTGCGCTTCCGACATCCAAAGTAGAGAATTGACTCACCAACAGTCTTGCCTTCATCGCGCAGAAACTGTCGCTCCTGAATGAAGCCGCGGAATGGTGCCAAGCCCGTACCCGGGCCCACCATTATGATAGGTGTCTCAGGCTTTGTGGGTAATCGAAACTGCGACTTGCGGATAAATACCGGCACCTTTATTTCGTCGCTAACAGGTTTCCTGTTCTTCAGAAATGTGGTGGCCACGCCCTTGTTTGTGCGACCTGTTGAAGTATTGTACTCCACGAGCACGGCTGTCACGTGCACGTTAGTAGGGTGGAGCTTAGCAGACGAAGATATAGAATAGTACCGGGGCTGTAAGCGGGGTAGCAGCTCGCAAACGTGGTCGATGGGAGGGCGACAAGACCTAATGTCTTCTAAAATGTGAACAACGTTGCGACATGCATCTTGAATCCAGCTCTGGTACTGCTCCTTTCCTAAAAAACATAAAAATTCACATCTGTTTATACGGGAAAAATTAAAAAACTAACTCAAAATCAAATAGCAACGGGATGATCTCAAATTATTGTATTAACTTCTAATTTCATTTTAATATTGGGTTGAAAAATCTTAGCGAGCAATCAATCAATTAATTTCTTTGAATCATACCAAAGATTCACTACCAAGTTTAAAATTGGGTATTGAGCCCTAATTTATTACACAGAGGGATCTGAGGATTTCCGTAATAAGACAAGAAATGCCCAAAGCAAATAAATCATTCAATATAGTTGAAAAGACTAGGATGGTATTATTAATACGGCAGTAGCAGATGGAATAATTAAAATCTTTTCCTGCAAATAGAACGATGATCTGTGGTCAGTATAGGACAATTTCTCTATTTTTCTGCCAGTTCCTATTGGAACTAAAATGAATATGCTTTGGCTGAAATGTTTTAATTGAAGTCAGAGGTCTCCACGGACTCCTTAGTTGGCTTTCACGAAGCATTCGAATTAACAAGAAATTCCTCCTTTGTACTGCGTGTTCTCCTAAATTGTGAATATACCATATAGAGTTGTAAGGAAGTTTTATCCAAGTTAAAAGTTTTGTAATAGTTTTTAGTGTTTGTCGTTATCGATAGCTTCGAGAGGATAATTATCGTAAATTATAAAGCAATCAAATATTCCTTATAATAAGTAAGATTATATTATTTTAACATTTCAATTTGTTTGGTCGCTCTGTTTTGCAAATGAACTGTTTAAATGCCATATATACAAAGAACAGGTAAGAAAGTGAGATAGTTCTTTTTCAGAGAGATCTTACAATAAATTGCTTCTTTCCTTACATCTGGGTTTCTCCCGCAATACGAAATTTCACGTTTTAAAGATTCAGCTCCAATTGTTCTTTTGAAAAATGTCTTACCTTCTGGGCTGATGGAGGCCATATTGCGCAGCAACTCCTTTTCATTGTCATCAGAACAATACTCAGCTAGCTCTTTGAGGATATGTGTGCGAGGTATGGCTGTGATTTCCAAATAGTGGGTTAGTGCGGTGCGGTACGTGGTAGGGCAAGGGAATGGATGCTTTTTGCTGCTGTCAGTATCGGTGTTGATCAACGAGAACACAGTGTCCAAATCAGCGTTACATAGCTGACCGAGCTTCTCCACCAGGCTTTTGTCGTTAACAGGGTACATGGCCACGTGATCACCCGTGTCATATCGCATTTTTGAACCATCGATGCCTAACTCTATATGCATACAAGAGCGGTCACCACCCTTGTGCAACTCGCGGTTGACTTTGATGGGTGCCAAAAATGGGTTCTTTGCGTCAAAGGGTGGACGCTGATTCTGCAAAGAGTGCAACCGTGCGATCTCTCCCGTGTAGATGCGATCAGGTTGCACATCCGGCTGCTCCAGCAGGCGATACTGACGAATGAGAACTTCTTCTCCGCCGCCCTCGATTCCGAAGTGATCGCACACAGCGGGCCAGAAACGGTCTTTCCATGTAATGAAGTCATCTTCGATGCTGCCGAAAATGAAGTATGAGAAATGATTTTCCTTATTAGCTTTCACCTACTTGGCATCATCATCGCCCAGTCCCAGTTCAAAGACTCGGTTGGCGCCCAGCTCCTCAAGCCTTTTGTCCACGTAGATGGCAACTTTGTTATAGTGTTCATAGGTCTTGTTTCCCAAGCCAAAAACCTAAAAAGTAAATGGTAAAGTAAATTTTTATTTTTTTTTAAATAAAATAAAATACATATATATATAATATATTTAATTATAAATAATGTATCGTCCCAAAACAACAACTTCTGTTATTACGAGAAGTTTAAAAAGGAAAGCACGTAAAAATAACTTTATAAAAGGTGAAAATGTGTATTCATTATATTGACTGCTGATAGAATTATTTCACTAAATATTCTTCTCCCATTCCATCAGTTTTTACCCTAGTATTTTTATTACGTAAACTGTTCAGAATGCCGCGCAAGGCTTGCAGTTTTTGGTAACGAAACATGACGAGAAGTGGAGCAGATATGGCAATCGTATTCTGCATTTTCCGACCACCATTCGAAGGAATTAATTCGAATAGTTATCAGGTCAAGGTATCAAAATAGAATAAGAACAATCTTACATTAAGCACATTGTTTTCAAAAACAAACTATAAATTCTCGAAAATTATAGCTGGCAAATGCAAAATGCTGCAACACGCGAGCACGAACAACGCATTTCTGAGGTAGTCGCTTATGTATGCCGTATAATTATAATTATGTGAGCCATTTTTTCACCAAAATTCTGATACGGATTCTGAATGTATCTGAATATCATTCTAACGTGCTTAGCCATAATTACTACTACTTTGTTAAAACGTTTAAAAATAACAGAGCTTTCAACACCATACAAGAGTGTGCTGTCGAATACAAGTATGATCTAAGAAACAGATCTCGAGAAATTAAAATGCAATTTTCCCATTTTAACTATACAAAGGATAGCGAGTTCAAACCCAACTTCGAACGTTTTTAATTTTTTTTATTAATAGAAGAATTAAAATTAAAACTCGCTTTAAGCAGACAATCTGACTAAACCACCTTTAAGTTGTTTTATTTCTGGTTAACCCATGTCCAAGGAAATGAAAATAAATTAACATCAAATCATTACCATGCCTGTTGACCATTTAAAGTCAAACTATACTTGTATTTTATGGATTTTATTATTATTATTAGTACCATCATCATAATCATCCTTATAGGTTTTAAATTTTGTAGGCGTTAGAACCCAAGCGGTCGGTTATTAAGTTTCTACCTCCTAAATTTTTACGTGATCTCAGCGTTCATGCTGACAGACAGTTAAATAAACGAAGAGAGATATTTCGATTACTCTTCTGAATTTAATCTCCACACAATCTTTACAACAATTATAAGATTATAGTCGTTTCTGGTCTGGTTCTGCATGACAGAATTCGCCCGTAAGCCGTTACTTATTTTTGCATAAGAAGGATGAATAGCAAATTCTATTCATGAAAAAATTTTTTCACATATGCAATTTCAAATGTTTCTTATTCGCTTACATTAGCTGTATTTAAAAATATCATCTATTACTGACTATGCATTCGATACGCCTGAGTCGGTGTTTGCAGAGTGGGGAATAGGGTAATCACCAAGTAGATAACACCAATTGGAGTGATAGCATTGAAACTTACCGCATAATTTAGACCAGTCAGGTCGACATCGCCGTTTGTTATCCATTCGTAGAACTCCATGGCGTTGTCGGTGGGATCTCCCTCACCGTAGGTAGCCAGGCAAAAAACTGCTAATGAGTTAGTAATATCCTTCAGCTGCAACAGCTCTTCCATATCGCATTCTTCGGGATCGGCAACCATTCCCTTTAGACGGTATCGAATTCCTTCCTTGGCTAGGCGGCCGGCGAACTCCTCTCCGGTCCCAGTCTGAGAACCATAAAAAACAACAAGACTCCGTCCGGAGGCCTTAAGCTTTTTAATAAATGAATTGTCCGTTGCACTGGTAGTGCACACTGTTGTAGGTCTGTATAAAATAAGGAAATGGGTTTACAACCGTAGCTCAATGATAGGACAGGAGTAACAAGATATTTTTTAATATTTTACTGTACTATATATGAAAACCTTATTTTTATCATATTCATCAGGTTAGGATAAAAATTCACTCACTGAATAGAATAACTCCTAGCCGGCTCTTCCTCCTTCTTTCGACTGCGCAGGAAGTAAAACGCGGCTCCAGCAATAAGTACTGCTAGTAAGACCACATCCAGCAGGCCCAGAAAGGCTTCTTCTCCGACGGGAACGCCTGCTCCCTCAATTGTTCGCTCGGTGGCCATGGTAGAAAGTGTAAGACTGCAAAAAAGACACAGAATTCGCGGCGCTTTAGTTTTTGATTTGCATAACATTTATTTAACCCGATTTGCATGCCGCGCACTTTGGTCACATTCTCTAATATATTCCACGTAAGCCAAAACTTACGTAGCATAGGTTTGCGTGTAACGGTAGTCAACTTCCGTACTTGTCTTAACGATTCACTGTATCGATCGGGCGGTAAGTTTGGTTAACAGCGGATAACATGGAAATAGCGTATAATAAGGGATTTTAATCGATTTCACCTTTAACTCCAATTATTAGCTCACGTCAATCGCTATTGCGATTGAGCAATTAATACAATTCGATTCCCTCCACTGATAACTATCGGCTTGTAGCAAAATGTTTTATACACAGCGCCTATCTATTGCCGCCTCTATTATTGAGTTAACATGTAAAAATATTGAAACATCCATATTTAGTTATATAGCGCAACAAATAGAGGGATATCATTTTCATTATATATTATTATTACAATATTCTTTTAAAACAGTTGTTAATTTGATTAGTACCTTTAATGAAGTTCAACATTTGTATAAAATTTAAAGGAAATTAAAATTTTGTTACATAGGATTTATTGAGGAATATTTTATCGAAATTATCATGATTCAACTTGAATTCGAATTCGAATTAATGCTTTAATATTTCTGTTGCCCTACTAGGCTGATTGTGTACTTTGTATAGAATCGTATAGTTGTTCTTGTTACTGTGGTCAGCAATGGCAGAAAATAAATATTAAACACATGACAGACTATTGCTGCGTAAAGCATATGCAAATTCAGAGTATAATCGGTATTCACGTCCGATACCAGTTTGAGAAAGGTGTTCGACGCTCACGATAATGCCAGACACTGACAACAAGCGGAGGTTAAAAAAGAATTGGAGCAATTGGAATTTATAGGTCACCTTACTGCCTCTGTGAGCTATGTATGCGCTATATTTGGCGACACTGCAAGGAGATAAATTATGAGTTCAAACAAAACTAAGATATTAAGATAAGGCTTCGCCATTTTGTGCGTATTAATATTAGGGTTTGAAGTTAATATACACGTTACTAGTAAAGCTTTAAAGTATCTTACTCTTAGAAGAATACCTATTTAAACCTAGAATCTTAAGATACAACATTCTATTATAGCTTGGGGGGTGGAAGTTTTTTCGAAACTTTTACTTCTACAAACCGCTAAAAACTATGATACCCGCAATACTTTTGATAATGCTATTCAACGCATTAAGGATCTACAAAAAAATGTCCAATTTAGAAACTTTTTCAGAAGTTAATTTGAAATTAAGGTTATACATTGGCTTTGACGCTAGTTGATAAATAAGCCTTATTGTTTGGTTCTTGTTAAAAAATGATTGCAGTGACCGCGAATGTACATATATGGTACTCACATTATTAATTTATCTTACCTCTTAAACCACCCAAAAGATCTATATATATTAATATTTAAGCATTTAGCATTGCATATCTCTTGATTGTTTAACTTTTAATACAAATCCAAACCAGAAGTATCGCTATTGTGGGCTATCAGTATACTGTTAACCAGTTTCCAAATTTTTACGGTCCGGTATGTTTCTAGACATAGTAGTTCTTGTTCTAGTAATGTCCTTTAAGATCAACATAACATGCTGAAATAAATTTGCACTGCTCAGCATCTCTAAAACAAGTATGTTTAATCTCTTGGAGACTCGGAGATCTCAGCGCTTATAAGGGGATGCGTTTTTTATAGAATCAAAATACCAAATACATTTATAAGATACAGCTATTTGTACATATCTAGACACCTAACGCCGACTAAACATCAAATTTGGCGGAAACCAATTTGAGAAGGTCAAGCTTACTGCAAAATGACCGTAAGTATCAACAATAATCAATATTAAAAATAAGTCTATTATTCTTCTTTTACAAACATTTTAGAATTAGATATAAATTAAAGAAAAAATAGAAAATATTTTAAAATATACAGAAATTTTTATAAACGTTATGATTCAGTGCTAAATAATTAATTAAAATAAGCTGATGACAAACAAGCTCAGGGTGGGGAAACAATAGTAATAGAAGCGATAATGCCAAGAATTTCGCTTGGTTTCAATATCAAGCGGTAAACTTATAAAGTAAGCATGACTTGACTATTTTATTTCGCGCACTAACCTTATCACAAGTTTAAATCTAACCGGTAGTAAAGGTACATACAGTTTCAGGTACATACATATGTACATCGAGACATGATTAAATTTACCTTGAAAATATTGAAATAGCGATCTTTTATTCAAGAAATCGAATGAAGAAAACAAACCTTAATCGTTCTTTTCTAGGTATTTAACTTGACTTGATATATACACGAATATGTAAATAACTCAAAAGCATAAAGAAGTCAATGTTTTTAAGGTATTACATGCTTCGAAAGGTCTAATAGGTTTATTGGTATATTGCTTTCTTCCACCGGACATGATTAGATTGATGACGTGGCATTTCTTAAAATTACTCGTGTAGTTATTGCTTACAAAACCGAAATTTTAAACCAAATTTAAAAAGTCTAGTAATGGTTGACCTTGTAAACGAAATATTTTTGCTTTAATCGAAGTTTATTTGTCCAGCTGTATAACTTTATAATAATATAATCGTACATAACTAGGAAATAAAACTAAATATCAGCCTTATTTTAAAAAATTGAAGGTTAAAATAGTTATGAAGGGGTCACATTTCTAGAAGCACCCAAAGATCAAATCTCGAAAAAATAAGTGACAAGGCGGAAGATTGTCGATTGCCGTGTAGAGTTTTTAGTTATGCAATTCGGTCTATGACTCACACAAGTACTTGGAATAAAGCGATTCAGCGTGCAAATAGCACAAATTACTAATAAAACATAACAGAAGTAAATTAATCTGAATTAAGCGCATAGGGATAGGAGTGAGCGAGATGGAGATATTGCCCATACAGCAACGAGGCTGCAAAAGAAAAACACCCAGAGAGCCGAGCAACAGGTACTGAACTTTAAACTCGCTCAAATGCGCACTTGTGTGTGTGAGGAAAGATTTTGATTGGAGTTTGTGTGATTTGTCTATCCGTCCGTGTCGCTGTAACCTTGACCACCAATACAGGGTTTATTATGAATAATTATGCATTACGGACTTCGGATTCGTGTGGCCGTGGGGCTTTGTTTTTACAACAAAAGTATTTATCCTCGAACTCACCGGATTTAATGGCGCCGTTTTGGTTGTCGTAAACGATCAGTTGATTTTATGCCGTACCTCTTAGGTTCTTCCTGTATCTTACACTTCCTGACCGTTTTGTGCTCTGCCTTTAATTACACTATTTTCCGGAGAGAACAAAGCGAATCTACGATCTTAATTTTCTTTTGCTTTATTCTCGTAAGCCGTATTATTTGGTAAACGGTAGAAACCACGAATACGAAGAGTGTGACCGTGCAGACAGCAAATCAGAAATAACGCACGTAGATTGTTTTTAATGCAGATTGCATGAAAAACTACTAGAACGGCAATCGCTGGTCTCTCTAATCAGTCTAATAAGAAACGATATTAAATGTGATCGATTAATAATATCTTTTACATTTAAAAACATATAATTCCTCTGCAAAATGTAAATTAGATTTTAATCTTATAAAAATTCCACAAAATTAAAAAATGTCTTTACCACTCTCAATATAAATAAATCAAAAAACATATAAATATATATATGTCTATCAAGAGATATAAAAACATGCAGGGCGAATCTAATCTATACACATTGCATTTTCTAGACATAATTATGCAAATAATAAAATTAGCATCAAAATAATAATAGTACTTTATGTCTTTATAAAAGTGTGCCAACGGGATCCATATATGTATAATAATTTACATTGCACAAGTTAGAAATGCTTTTCGGAAATCTTTAAAAGTTAAATTTACCTTCTCCCGACCAACGCCATTATCAGCTTGCTCATAAATTTCAGTAAGTCATAAGTAAGTAAGCCCTATTAAACGTCATGTTGCTAATAAATTATAACGAACCCGTCCATCAACGTCGTCCCATCTCAGACCAACAAAATTGAGGTAACGGCTTTCCTACCTGATATTGATCCCGTTCTTTTATATCGGTTTATTTTTTGAATTACTTTTCATGCACTTGTTTTTGATAACGAAAAGTTCTGATTGAAAATTGTAGTGTACATTTTAAATAAAAGTAACTATAAAATTACATATAAATTAAGCTCATTGTTGTTACTGTAAATGGTCATTAATAGTTAAAGCTGGCATGAACGGTGTGATCGGGTGTCAAAATGACCATTTTGGAAAAAAAACGGATTTTCACAAATCAGTTATTGATGTTAATGTGTATATAAATTTAATTCATTTCAATTTTGATCAGGTGGACTAACAAAAATGTAAAGTTTACTGTAAAAGTAATTGCATTTGTTTAAAGGTTTTAATTTACATTACATTACAATCTGTCTCCGTATGAGACTTAGGTAATGGTACCAAACTTGTTTAGTTCGCTGGATTTATTTGTCTGGTACTCCTGCATCAACCTATTTGAGGGAAGCATTATAATAAATGGTGAAGGCCGATTTTTTTCCAATCAAGCAATTTTTAAGAAGCTCAATCCGTACTACATTGCTATTTATTTTCTTCACTAAGGTAATTCATAAAAACGCCTTTGAATTGCGAAAGGTTTCGCCACTAATTTATCGACTGCTAATAGACAGGCTTAAAATCTTTTAATTTACTAAGTTTGGTATCATCTACTTCTAGTATTTTTCCTATAACGTTGAGGAAAAATCCCCTCATAAAGATGTTGGCAGCATAAATATGTATTTTCCTCACAATCTATAAATCTAGACTAAAAGCATTTTGTGAATGTAAATTAATGCATAATACAAATTTTATACGTTATATTTATTTTAATATATTAATAATAGCGCAACTATAAATATGTCTAGCCCAATCTTAAACTGTTAAGAAAACAACAATTTTCTTTATTAGAGACAGATTTTGTTTTTTTAATATCAAATTATTTATTGCTGGAGCTTTATCAGTACATTTCCTTTTAAATTATATATTTGTAGTCACTGCACAGTACAACATCGATAGTTTATTTCGCCTATCGATCTGTGCGATGCCAGCGACAAAGGTAGTCGGCCAGCACCTCAATATCGATATCACCATTGCAGTTCTTCGTTTTAGTGCTTCTGAAGTGGATTCGTTTATTTATTTTAAAGTTACACTTAATAATTATTTTTTGTGTGATTCAACGTCAGCTTGCGGGTCTCCGCTTTGCTTATCCTAGCATCTAAGTGTATTCGGCCAATTCCCGTTGTTCAATTACCAACATAACACCAATACCTGTAGTAGATGGTGCAGTTGTTTTAGCCTTAGGCGCCCAGGCTGACTAAGATTCAGATAAAAGTCATAGCTCGGCTCAAAAAATGCCCTTAAAATTCTTGAAAAAGTGTCGCCAGTACAATGTTACTTCTAAGAGTTTGTTTGTTATTTCAGTGCATCACCTGCTGGGTGAGTAAACCCCACCACTGGATGGGCGTAACGACTATAACAACAACAATAATAACAAAAGTAATAGAAACGAGGCAATATATGCAACAACTAATCGGTTACAAAGCTATCGTATATTGCTTTGTGATTTAATTTTCAATTTTTTCCATTTACAATAGTTTGTTTTACAGCAATTTAACAGAATTTCAGTTTTACTGGAACTCGTAATCTAATTGAGGCCGCGAAAATGTCATCCCACTATCGTCTTTCACATAGAGCTGTGTTCATTGAAATAGCATTCTGTGCGATCATTACGATAAAGATTGCAATAGCCTTTTATAAAGCTTAGTATTAAACAAACTATAGTGTATATATTTTTTAATAATTTACCATTTATTTATTGTAAAATTAAGTCATTACTTATAATAAGATTTTTTGTTTACTGCCTTTACGAGAATCGAGACGCGGCCCTCGACTATAAGATAACCGTTACCGTTTTACACAATTTTAGAATATTCATTTTGCTAGCAGGAATTTGCAAAGCGCTACCTATTGTCGGAGAAAGCATGTTGAGTAACTGATGGTGACGTCATTGCCCATGTGAGGCCTTATAACCTAAATTTCATTATAAATAGGAAAATAATGTTCCGATTTTAACTGTATTTGATAAATCGATAGATAATGATAAAAATATGTTATACAAGCTTAAACGAAGAAGGTTTTTGGGCTTGAGCTGCGTATGGACCTCAAGAATATGCCTGCTTAGTCTCTATATCTCTAATAGTTCTTTAGATCTCAGCGTTCATAGGACATACGGAAATTGTTTAATCGATTTCGCTATACTATTAACACTTTCTCCTACCTGTTACATACTTTTCAACGAATCACGTATACCCTTTAACTTTACGAGTAACGGGTATAATCATAATTGTGTAAATTAAAAATATATTTACTTTTAATAACATTTATATTAAAACCCTTCAAATCCTTTAAACGTTCTGGGGAAATAAATAATTTTTGTACTATAGATATTTACGATATCTACGTTTACGGTTCCCAATAAATATATAAAAACAAAAAAATTATTATTTAATACTACAGTAAAAAAATTTCAGTTTTATACGATTTTTCCTGAAAAAATTGTAATGTCAAAGCTCGACAAGGTCTTGAGATATTTACAAGAAAGAAAAAACTTTAGATTAACAAATTATAGCTGGAAGGGAAGTGGACCTAGATGATGCTTTTAAAACTTAATTTTTTACTAGCTGGTTAAAGGGACTTTATAGAAACGCTATAACGTCAAAATAGGTGTTCAACCGACATTTTGGTAATATAACGTAGTGGAAGAACGTTTAAAAAAATAAAGGGACTGAAACTATTTATAGAATTTTACTAAGTATGCAATGTCAAGTCGCTAAAATAACCTTCTTATAGATTGAGTAATTTGTAATACGTAAATGAAAATTTAGTTAAATATTATTTTCATAATTTTGTAAAGTTATTTTTAAGCGTTATGACCAAAAAATAAAAACTAGAAGAAACGCAACTGTTACTCCACCGTTACTCTAATAACCAGATTATTTGTTAAATTACAAAATTCTATTGCAAAATCATAGTGAATTTATTTTAAAATAGTTTACCGTTTTTTGTTTCATTATTATCAACAAAACAACAACAATAACAAAATTTTACTAAGTAATATTTCGGTTATGATCTTATATTTCGTTTTATAATTGTTATACAGCAACAGCTTCACCTGTAAGTTGCATGGAGTCTCAGGTCCTGGCAGAGTAGCTTGTGACCAATGCTTACCTGCCAAACCTGAACCCAGAAGTCAAAGTCATTTTCGACACATATTTTTAAATGTTTCCCATCAAGTTGCTGGTCGTAGCGAAACAGCCAGTGCAGAGGGCCAAAGCAAGGTGACCATGGTAATCGTCAATTATGAAAGTGTATGTAAAATATATTCTCAAAAATGTTGCCCTTCTATGTGCTATAAGGGATATGCCCTTAAAAAGGTCATTTCAATTGGATAACAATCTAAAACATAAATGATAGATCTTATGGAGTGGCCAGCAAATTCTTTTGACCATTATGGATAACTTTTTTTTTTAATATAATGGAAAACTTTCTTTCTGCCAGTTATGACAAACCCTAAACCCTCTAACAAGATATTATATTATAAAATGGAGTTACTTATAATAAACTTAAACCATCAATAATGAAAAGAATGGTACAAATTTTAAAATCAATACTTTAATCTGTTAGAATACAGATTTGTTCCGTATTACAAGAACTATTTCAATGATAACAGTTGCGCGTATTAAACAAATAAATAAATTACAAATTGTTTATCAAGTTGTTGTTATGGTATACATATAGAGTTTAGAGTTATTTTATCGTGTCTGCGGCTTGTTTTCACTGAAACCTCTATTGCAGACACTTCCAGCACAGTAGACTGCACGATCAGCTCGGAAAGTAAAGGACAGGAATGCCTAGACAACGTTTGCCAGCGATTGCTGATACAGCAGCCGGAGTTTTTCGGATTGCGCTTCCTTGTCAAGGGAAGGGAAAAGGAAGAGGAGTTTAAATGGGTTGACCTAGAGCGCTCCCTCAGCCGGCAGTTAGAAAAGTATGCGGCAGGACCAAAGATCTATTTGCGAGTGCGCCACTATGTCACCACAGGAGTGCGCCACCTTACCGACGAGGCCACACGCTTTTACTACTTCCTACAGCTTAAAAGCGACATACACGAAGGTCGAATCGCTTGCGACATCCGCACAGCCATACTTCTGGCGCTCTACTGTCGTCAGGCGGAGTATGACAGCTATCACGGGGATAAACAAAGCAAGGACTACCTGAAGAAATCACTTGTCCTACCCCGCAATATGCAAGGCTTGGCGAATGACGACAGTATGCTAGACGGACTTATCGTGGAGGTCCTGCAGCAACATGCTGGCCTTGCACATTTGGGTCAGAGCCAGGCAGAAGAGATGTATATTCAGTGTTGCCAGCAGCTGGATGGATATGGGGAAGAGCGCTTCGCCGCTAAGGACACACTCGGCAATGATCTGCTGCTGGGTCTGGCCATTGATGGGATGGTGGTAAACGCGGATAACGGGCGGCAGTATTTTCCATGGAAGGACTTCCACACTGTAACTATCGACAAGAGAACGATCAAGATCGAGCAAAACAAGCTAGACGGCGGCGGCAGCATCGTGGGAAGCTTTATTTTCGCCGAAGCGGACACGTCGCGCTATTTTTGGAAGCTCACAATTAGCCAGCATAAATTCTTCAAGCGATACATTGACACTGGCACGCCATCGAGCCAGGGCAGTGGTGCAGAAATGGAAAGGACCGGTCCGATGGGGGGCGATAGCGTAGGTTACGTAGAGTACGACTGCTCTGAAGCGGCGTCTGCCGAGCATTTGCGTCAGCAGCAGCAGATGATTTCGTCGAACATTTCATTGGCCACCAGCGCCAACCAATTGTTGGGACAAAGCCTAGATATGAGCAACAACAACCTGCTCAGTAGCACAGGTATGTTGAACAATGGGAGCAACAGCAAGAACAACAATAACTTTGAGGAGCGGGAACGTCTTAAGTCGATGCTACCCACATATCGTCCTGCCCCGGACTATGAGACGGCGGTGCAACTGAAGTACCGTACACCTTCGGCGGAGTTTCACAACATGACTCTGACATTGACCACGCCAAGTAATGCATACTATGCGGGTTCGCAGCCGGATGTTCACAATCCGGGCTTGCACAATGATAACTTGCTATATAGTCATCTGACTGCCCATCGTTATCCGGACGTAGCACAGCCAGCCGCTGCTCTACACCACCATATCAATCTGTATCAGCAACAGTCCCACCCACAGGCTATGAGCACACCACAGACGTACCTGGAGTTATCACAACGCATGCTATTGATGCGTCACAAGGCTCCCCCGCCATATGTCAACCGCTTGAGTTCCTCCTCGACGCCCGACTTGGCCGTGGCCACTCCACGCCCGCTACAGGGCTACCGAAACTATGTAAGCGGCTCATCGCCAGATTTAGTCTCCAACCGAACCCTCTTTAACGGCGGCCAGTTCGTTGCTCTGAATGCTGGCGGACATGCAAGCACCGTTCCCACATCCTCCGGAGCAACAATGCTCCACCAGCATCTAAGCCATATGGGGCACTCGCAGCCCTACCTTCCGCCCCATGGCACTTTTGAGAATCTCAACATGATCGAGGAGCAGCCGTCCATTATGTCTCAACTGCGTCAGTCAGCGATGAGCCAGGCAGCAGTTGGAACTGTAGGAGCGCTGATCACTCAAAGGTAATATAATATTTAGTGATGTTGAATGATTTTTACACATGTTTCATTAGGTGGATTTATGTACTGTTTGTAATCATTTTGAAAAAATGTAATAGTTAATTTAATTTCAATTTAAATTAAAAATCAAGATAAAACACTATAGTCGACTGCCGCGACTATAAGCTAATTTTAAAATATTAATTTTGCTAGTGAAAGTTTACAAAGCGCTACCTTTTGTCGTCGTTAGTGAGTTTTTGTTTTCAACTTGTTATTATTGCAAGAAAATCTTGATGAGCCTTCGGTATAATACATTGACAGCAAATTTTTATGACGCTGGTATTCATGATTTATACATGTCTGGGTCGGCAAACCCGCCAGAAAGAGATTATTGTTATGAATTTTCAACTGACAGGAGAAAAGCCAAACATCATTACAGAGATAATAATACTGACTGGTCGATTTGCTGTTAAGGGTCGAATATCCCTTTTATCTAGCCGTCGGAAATATTCAAATTCCAATAGCGGTGCGTCAAAACAATAAAATGACTCCTTATATCGAATATTATATTATATAGTATTATACTAACAGAAATTCAAACAAGAACCATACCTAACTCCCAAAGACTTCACTACCTTTTCCGATTTGTATTTTTTAGGCCAGTTGGCCGTCGATTTAACGTGCCGTAATGGTGGATCTATAAGTGACTGACGATAGGGCGTCTAGTCATAGGATGTCTCTTAGCATATAGCACATAAACTATCTGCTGGATGGCAGATTTTAGCAAGATGGGGATCAGAAGACACGGCGAGAGCCTTTGATGATTGCGATGATGAATGAGAAACATTTATTGAAAAATCTTAACCGTATTTATGGGTACCAGATGCTAAGGTTAACAAGAGTAGGTATAAAGAAGCAATCAAAGTATATTTTGCAAGCAGAGTCAATTGGCCTGTAAGTTTCAGAGTACATATGTGAATTTTGATGTATCAGCTAGTTTCGTTGGTTCAGCGGATTGGTGACGATTTAGCTGTTTGTCTTTCTGGCTGTCTGACAGCCGAGATAGTTTAATTTGTTTATGATTATCAATACTGTAATACCGAAACTTGAGTTGATGGCTCTTACCCATTATATTATTTGATTACTTAAAATTTTCATGTATATTAGGTTTCTGGTTCTTATTGTTTCCGAGGTCTCAGCGTTGATACGGACAGGGCAAACAACAGAAGGACAGGCAGTCATTGGTAAATCGCTTCGTCTATTGATCCTGAACAAGAATATACATATGTTTTTATAGGGTTAGAAATGCTTTCTTCTTTGTCCTGCAAAAAAGCGGTATGTCTGCCGTTGGTGGTGTATGAGTAGCGGTTTCATATCCCGTCATGTGACATGTAAATTTAACATATCTTTATTAATTCTTAGTTCGTATTCTTCGAAAGCTTAAATTTTTCTTTTGATTTCACCATGTCTGTGGGCACACTATGTGTGAACTCTGTCCCATTTCATGGCCCTTTAAATATGGGCCAACAAACGTTCGAGCCTTAACGTTATAATACTCTTAAAATCCTGCAATATCTAAACCTATGTTTATATAGTTTTTGTTATTTTATACGTATTTCTAAAGATGTACCCTCCCTGTGCGACAAAAATTTTTTTTTAGGAATATTTATTTATTTATTTCTACGGTCAAACATCCGCTCTATGCGGAAGAACATTACAAGTGGAATTCGTGTTATATAATTTTTTAACCAGTGTATTAATTGTTGATTTATCTATTATAGTCCTAAACGAATACTTTTCCTATTACCATTCTAGTTCACCTACGCTTCCGCCGAGTGGTTATCGCAGTTCTATACCACCGCCTGCCAGCAGCCCGCTACCACCGCCAATCATTGCTTCGTCCCATAAAACTGCCGCACCGTCGCCTCTTCAGAGGAGCATGGTAAACGGGTCTATCGAGCCCATCTACGAGAATGTCCCCCTTCCCCACCGAGCCTCGGGTGGTAGCAGTGGGACCACTTATGTCGATGCTATGCGTCAGAGGGCATCGTCGATACAGTCCGCTCCTGGTGTTGTTCCTGTTGCGGCTACTCGACACGCTAGCTCAAACAACCTGGCCACTGCTACTGTAAATTGCCAAGCTGACGATGGAAACACAATAAAGTACGGGGTGGACCGGGCATTAAGTACAGAACTCTTATTTCATGAGCCGCAGGCTCCTAAGCGCACCAGAGCAGCAAGTGCCGCACCGGATATGGGATCAGCACCTCCGCCACGGCAACATGGACAGGGATCCAAAGCCAGTCTGAATAAGTCACCGAAGGCCGAAGTGATCATGTCGGCTGGAGACTCACTTCAGCAGCAGTTTAGTACTATAAATATTTCTGCTAACACGTCTGCTTCTACCTCCTCCGTCTTAAACTCCACGCTTAATACGACGTCCTCGTCGGCGGCCAGTAAGGAGTCAAAACGCAAAAAGCGGTGGAATTTTTTGTCCCGTAGTAAAACTCCCGAAAAGCAGAAATCTGCAACCCTAGGCAGGGAAAATGCGCTGGCGACAGGTCCGCATCCTAAGCTGGTCACGAAGCTTAAGCTGGCTCAAGATGACCTTACTATGCCACACCGGTGGTCCACCGGCGTCAGCAAACCCCTGCCCATTTCCGGAAGATATTCCAAGGACCAACTGGTAGGTAATAGTTAAATGGACCAAATATAGTAAATATGTAGTCTGGAACATCCAAAAAGCATTTGTTTTTTAAACTATTTCTTTTACAGCCTTAGAAAAGATAAGTCAGCCAAGAAAGATCGATTAGTTAATGGCCACGACTAATTATACCCATTACTCGTAGAGTAAAACGGGTAGAAGGTAGCGAAGTCGATTAAGCCATGTCCGTCCGAGCGTCCGTATGAACGCTGAGATCTTAGGAACTATAAGAGATAAAGAGTTGAGCTTAAGCAGACAGATTTTTGAGGTCCTTAAGCAGCGCAAGTTTATTTCAGCATCCTGCCACGACCACAAATCACGAAAATCGACGAAATCTCAGGCACTATTAAAGCTAGAAAGGTAGAATTAAGTATGTCTAATCTTGAGATCCCAGCGCATCATTATTACCCTTTATCTGGCCACACCCACTCTTACGCCCACCAAGCTCGAAAGATCGTTTTTGCATTTTGTAGAAAAGCTTATATCTAGGTAGCTATAAGTTATAGAAAGTTCGGATTAAGAATGTAGGTTTCTATGATGCTTCAAATGCGAATTGCTTTTCCCCATCTATCCACGCCCTCCCTAACGCCCACAAAACCTTGAAACCCAAAAACTCAAAAATCTCGGGAACTATAATAGCTAGAAAGTTATGCTTAGGAATAAGTATTATGGAGATGCCACTGCATCTCTATAAAAGCTAGAAAGTTATGCTTAGGAATAAGTATTATAGAGATGCCACTGTAACTAGACACGAGTTTTCATATGGCCACGCCCATTGTAACGCCCACAAACCGCGAAAACTGTGCCGTCTATAATATTATTATGAATTCCTCCGTTTGACCTTGTATAACTTATTTTTTAGATCGGAACATTATTTCGCTTTTTATGAAGAAATGTAGGTTATAAGGCCTCACAGAGGCAGTGAGGCCCCATCAGTTACTCAACATGCTTTTTGATTAAAGGTGGCCTTTTGTCCATTTCCACTAGCAAAATGAGTCTTTTAAAATATAACAGTACCCGGCATCTTATAGTCGTGGCACTCGACTATAGCGTTTCTTCTTGTTGTATATTAACCTTACACAATAGTTTTTATACCTGTTACTCGCAGAGTAAAAGGGTATACTAAATTCGTTGAAAAGTATGTAACAGATAGAAGGAGGCGTTTCCGACCCTAAAAAGTATATATATTCTTGAACAGGATGAATAGCGAAGACGATTGAGCCATGTCCGTGTGTCTGTCCCTCTGTCCTTATGAACGCTAAGATCTCAGGAACTATAAGAGAAACAAAGTTAAATTAAGCATGAAGATTCTTGAGGTCCCTACGGGGCGTACGTTTATTACAGCATCCTGCCACGCCCACTCTAACGCCTGCAAATCGCTGAAATATCAGGAACTATTATAGCTAGAAAGTTGAAATTCAGTATGTATAAACTTTGGATCCGAGCGCACCTTTTAGTGGTAGAAAAGTGTCGGGCATGTCGAGCAACTGATAGTGACGTCACAAACCATGTGAGGCCTAATAACTTAAATTTGTTCATAAAGAGCGACTGTGTAACTCTTATAGTTCCTGAGATCCCAGCGTTCATACGGAGAGACGGACTGACGAACGAATAGACGGACATGGCTTAATCGACTTGGCTATTAATCCTGATCAAGAATACAATACTTTATAGGGTCAGAAACGCTTCCTTCTACCTGTTACATACTTTTCAACGAATCTAATATACCCTTTTATTCTACGAGTAACGGGTATAAAAAGTAGACTTACATGCCTGCGACGGAAAATGTTTACTTTTAAATTGGTTTCTACAGGAGGGTTTATTGTTAGATATTACTTACTTACTTTCCATTAGACAACTACAGTTGTTGTCTGGTCTTTTCTGATGTTTTTATATATTTTAGCAATATTGTAAAAAGACTAAGCCCTTAATTTAATTTAAAACTTTTCCATGTCAAATATAATAGTTTCGTTAATTAATGCGCTTTTAATTTCAGTGCCAAATACTAGATGACAAGCTTAGTGACTCGCAGCTGTTTTTGGAATTCGAACGCATACCGAAGCGTCGGGAAAATGCATTGTACGAGTGCGCCCTTCTAGAGGAAAACGAACCGAAGAATCACGACCCCCACTTTTTACCCTATGATGACAATAGAGTGCGACTGACGCCATCGATGGACAATCGCCATGGTTACGTTAATGCCTCCTACATAAATGTGCGTTTATTCAAAATTATAACAATTTCATATTTTAGCTTCGGAAGAATAATTTGTATTTTTATTTTTAAGGCCACTGTGGGTACAAAGCAGCTATTTTACATTGTTGCCCAAACTCCCCAAGAATCGATAACCATGCGCATTTTTTGGCAGTGTGTCTGGGAGGCGGATGTATATTTGATTGTTCAACTAACTGAGGATATGAGCTATATTCCACTTAGCAGTCAGCAGCGTCTAGAATTTGGTCAGGTATGTAATTTATAATGTTGTGCAAATTGTGATTGTGATTTCTTAGTTAAACTTTATTCTTTCAGTTTCAAGTATATCAGGAATTCTTACAAACGACAGATAGATGCACCACCATTAAGTTGCGTCTTTACCATGTATTGTCGAGACGGTACCGTTCAGTCTGGTATTTGCAGTATGATGACTGGGCAGAACAAAATTGTCCCCGCGATGTAAACCATTTTCTGGACTTTCTTGAAGAACTTAACTCAGTTAGACTGGCATCCACCCAAGAAGTACCCCCGGGTCACAACACAAACCCACCGGTGTTTCTCCACTGTTTGGAGGGAGGCGGTCGTTCTGGTGTAACACTGACTGCTGATCTTCTGCTTTATACTCTCGACCATAACGAGGTAAGCTAATAAATAAAAATACTTTTTTTAATATATGCTTAATCATTCCTTTTTGCCTTGCAGGACCTAGATATACCTCGTGTTATTGGTCAGCTTCGACATCAGCGCGACAGTATTATACCATCACTTGCACAATACAAGTTTATATACAATCTATTGATCACCTATTTAAAGCGTACGAGGCTGATTTAAGCGTGAACCTAAAGATAGTGGAGAACTTTCCTAAAATAACTGGTATAAGCTAAGTTTTCTCCAAGAAGTCATGACCTACTGTTGCTTACGAAATTGTTACATTTTATAACAACTTGTTTTTAAGCTCTAAATAGCTTACCTATTTATAAGAATACGATATGTAAAGAAATATCGACATGATCGCAGTGTTTGTAAGCCAGTTAAGTAGAAATTTATGGCTGTATCAATAAAATCCAAAAATAATACATTTTATAAAAATTTTGAAAAAAAGATCACTATGTGTTAAAATATATTTCAAACAAAAGTAAGAAGGAAATCTAAAAAAAATAGGTTTCAAAATTAAATGCCCTCCGGAAATCCTAGCATCCCTACAATGAATGCCAATTCGATCTGGTTATTCGTAGAGTAAAAGGGTATATTAGAGTATGTAACAGGTAGAAGGAAGCATTAGGATTAATAACCGAGTCGATTAAGCCATGTCCGTCTGTCCATATTAACGCTGAACTCTTAGGAACTATAAGAGATACAAAGTTGAGATTCAGCATGAAGGTTCTTAAGGTCCCTACGCAGCGCCAGTTTGTTTCAGCATCTTGCCACCCCCACTAACGCTCTAACTAAAATTGATGAAATCTCAGGAACTATTAAAGCTAGACAATTAAGTATGTATAATCTTGAGATGCCAGCTCTTCTCATGGTGGTACCATTATCCGGCAACACCCACTCTTACGCCCCCCAAGCTCGAAAGACGGTTTTCGCATTTTGTAGAAAAGCTTATATCTCGGTATCTATAGGTGATAGAAAGTTCGGATTAAGTATGTTGGTTTTTATGATGCCCCAAATGCGAATTGTTTTTTCCCATTTGGCTACGCCCATCTCAACGCCCACAAAACCCAGGAAACCAAAAATGGGAATTATAAAAACTAGAAAGTTGTGCTTGAGAATATGTATTTTACGTATATATATACGTATTTATGTCTTCGTCTGGCCTTGTATAAAATATTTTTGTCAATATCGATCGATTTGCCAAAGATTTATCAAATCGAAACATAAATTCTTGATGAGGATCAAAAGCCCAGTAGATTTTGACAGGTCCGTATGTTTGTCTGCCTATATAATTTTCGAGAGGGTAGGAATACCAATATCAAGAAAAAATGGTCACCTTTTGTATGAACTTTCTTGGCAGTTTGTGTTTTTAAATTTCAATATATATATTAAATACATGTAGATATTATTTAGAAATAAAATTTATTTACCATGTAACCAACATTGAAGTCTTTGAACCTGTACTAACATTATTTAATGTTTGGGTGTTGTTGGGCCAAGCAGCCAAAGACAAAGACGGATGAGCAGCGGCGGGTTAATCAGCAGTTTTTATTTGGTTTGGTTCTCCTAGTTTCGCATGCGCTTTACTGTTATTTTGTAGCGCATGCGCTTTTGGGAGCTTTTGGTAGAACTGCTGTAGTTCGCAGCTTTTGTTGTTAAGTTGCTACTTCTTTCGGCGTGGTTTTGTTGCGGAGTTGATTTAATTTTGCCCCGGTTTATTTATTTATTTATTTAACAAAATTAAATCTAGTATATAATACTAAATCTAATACATTTCTTAAAGAGTACTAGGTGGTAGGGCCTACGACTCGAGATTAAAATTATTAAATTAAAGATACTTAAATATTTAAGTTGGTTCTAATGACAAAATGGTAAAAGTTCATAATGGTTTCTTGTGAAATTATATTTAAACTATCGGAGGGTTTCTGGCCGAAAATCAGGGCCCTGACGCTCTCCAGAAGACGGCATGAGTTGAGTAGATGGTCAATTTCGAGGTGTTCGCCGCAACGGCAGACGGGACGTGGTGTTCCAGTAAGGATATGTTCGTGTGTTGCACGGCTGTGCCCGATACGAAGGCGGATGAATGTTGAACGTGCCCGCTTTCCAAGGTGCCCAGGAATAGAAATTTTTGTGAAGGTATTGTTGATGGAAAAATATCGGTGGTCATATAGGTCTCATTCTCTGGATTGTTTGACCCCAATTCCGTAAAGAAGATAAGGTGGAAAGGCTATCGGTACAGATTACAAAGATTACCGAGTGTTTGGTGGCAAAGAGACAGGCTTGTAATATGGCGAAGGCTTCCGCAGTAAAGATGGAGTTGTAAGGGGGTAGCATTCCACCCGAGATTATTTTGTCATTGCTGTCAACAACAGCAAAGGTAGTGTCGTCGTCTGTTTTTGATCCATCGGTGTAGAGCCAAGATTTTGTGCCGAGTTTTTCTTGTAGGCATCGAAAGCGGGTCTGATATTCAGCTCTGGTGGTATTGTTTTTTGAGCCGTTGTACATATCAAGGGGAAGGCCAAACTGCGTTGTGAAGCTGGCACACCGCCTAAGCGTTGATATGACTTTGTAATTCCGTTTTTGCTTGAACATGGCTGAGAGCATTTAGTAGAGCATTTTTTGTTAAATGCATTTTACAAATGAGCTGCATGGTCAGTTCTTCTCTGCGAGCCTGAATGCTCGGTAGGCCCGACTCAGCCAAAATGCATGCGGTAGGTGAGGTAGGAAAAGCGTTTATAGCACGTCGGATTGCACCATGGTATGGAGCCTGCAACTTGTTTAAGTGTGATTTTGCACACCATCCGTAAACTGGTAGATCGTAATCTATTTTGGAAAGCATCAGGGCGCGAGTAATTCATATTAGTGTATTAATATGGATGTTAGTGTATTTGGATGACAAAAATTTTATAATGTTAAATCTGGACTCGAGTTGTTTTCTTAGTTTAATACAATGCTGCAAATAGGAGTTTGGTATCGAAGGTTAAGCCCAAAATTGTTAAACTCTTAACATTTTCTATTCTTTTATTTTTAAAGTTAATATGGGAGAGAGTGCATCTGTGTTTGCGGCAAATATGGAGTAATTTACATTTTTCAATGGCTAGGGACGCACCCGAAATGGCTCCCCAGGAATCTATTTCACTTAATACATCTACAAATTTATCTTTAACAATATTTACAATTTTAATTTGGAAAAAATAATAGCGTCATCTCCGTATATTGAGAGTTAAATGTCCTTATGTCTACTTAAACGACGAACTACATAAGTCGTCGGACAATCATTTTTTCTATAGTTTTTCCTAAACAGGAGGTTTATTTGGCTTGGGAATTGGGATGACAGTGGCTGATCTCCAACTGTGTGGGTATTTTCCGGAGTTAAAAATTTGATTATATATTCCTAAAAGCCTGGTTTTAAGGGAGAGTGGCATTTCCTTAAGCATTGGGTAGGATATCCGGTCAGCCACAGGGGTTTTACCCTTTGAGCCGGCTAATGCATATTCGATTTCGGCTAATGTGAAGTTTTTTTCTTAGCATTTGGCAGGTGATGACAGAGCTGTCAGAAGATAGGACGGCGATAAATAGGTGTCTTTTTGGTGTACGTATTCGGCTGAAAAGGTACTGTCAGCCGAATAGTTTGACCAAAGATGCCCGAACTCTTCTGCGATATCCTCAGAGCACTTCAAAAATCGAAACGGCTGTGGTGGTACGCCGGCCAGCCTCTTTACGTCGGACTAAACTTTTTTGGAAGACGATAAAGGGGATATCCTGGAGGTGAAATTTTCAAGACAAGTCCTTTTGGACACAAGTACAGAATTTTTAAAAACTGCATTGACTCTTTTATAATTTATCAAGTTGGTGTCGGACATTCTGGCTTTATAAACTGCGAACAGCTGTTGCTTTTCATTTCGACGCCTCTGAAGGTTGTAATTGTGTATTTGTGGAATACTGCAGTTGGCTGCGGACCTAATCGCTTTTGTTATTTGTGCAACTTGGTGGTTTTAACAACCTGACTTCCAATCCAACGCTCTTCTTTCGCACATAAATCTATATGCATCCCAATTGGCTAGATCTATTTTAAATTTAAAGGTAGGGGAGGTACTAAAATGTGTGGAAAAATCAATAGATATGATTAAGTGATCACTACCGTGAAGGTTGGATAAGATTGACCAACTGCACCTGTGTGCTATCTGCGGGGTAATCAAGGAAATGTCAACGTGGGTAAGGGAATTGTGGGTGGATAGATGTGTGGGAGATCCATTGTTGAGGACAATCAGATCTTGTTCCGATATTAATTTCTCGATTTTTTTGCCTCTGGTGTTTGACTGACTAGAGCCCCATAGAGGGCTCCACGAGTTGAAGTCCCCTAGAACTATGAAGGGGTGTCTATCACTATCGAGAATGGCGGATAAGTCAGATGTTGTAAAACTTTGATTTGGAGGAATGTAAACATTGACAATCTGTATGCCAATGCTTACATTAAGCTCCAAAACAGAGCAGAGAATATTAGAGTCGACATTTTGGTGTGAGTGGGGGAGGTTTTGTTTGATAAGAATTCCAACGCCTTGCTTAGCACTGATGTTCTGCGGTAAATTGTGGAAATAACTAATGTAGCCCTTGGGGCAGACAAAGTTTATAAAGTTACAGGTCAGGTTTGTTTCTTGTAAACATAAAATGTTGTTCATTTATTAATATAGAAAGTTCATGATAATTGTTAAAAATTCCGTTTATATTCCATTGTAATATTTTTATTGGCATTAAAACAAATCAATAAGATTTCTGTTGGATATAGGAAATGCTATGGAAAAGACTGGACTATGAATCCAATGTTTCCATTGATAATTCGGAGTCGGATGATATATTTAAGGCGTTAGAGTTAGTTGGGGATTCTGGTACTTTGATTTTGTTTGCTTCTTCAATAAGAGCTTTAATAATATTCGACCGCGAGCGATCGATTGGGCTGATTAAGGAGCTTGTGTCTTGTGTGTCGGGTGCAGTTGAGAGAGAAGATTTGTATGAATTTGAAAGAGATGAGATTGGCATGTTCGTGGGAGAGGTCGTGTTGGTTACACTATTGGGCTTCCGAGTTAATGTGTTTGTTGTTGCTTTCGTAGGTATCGTATTTTGTGTTCTTTCGGTTGTGGACGGAGGGCTTGCTGCGCTGGCGACAGAAGCGAAGGTAGTCGATGCGTTGTTATTGTTTTTTTGTTGTAAAATATTGCGGGCTTCACGGAAGCTGCATTTCTTGCTTGTTTTGATGCAGAGAAGTTCTCTCTGGAATTGATATTTTGGGCATGATGGAGAGGAGGCTGGATGATCGCCGCTACAGATTGCACAAGAAATGCGAGTGCAGGGCACTGGTAGATGAGGGGAGAGGTTACAAGAAACGCAAGTTGCAGTGTTCTTGCAGAGTTTCATTGTGTGTCCCAATAGTTGACAAGACTTGCACCTCATAGGATTAGGAAAATATTCCCGAACCTTTACGGTGTGCCAAGAGTCGTCAAGCTTGCTTGGTATTTTGTAGGAGTCAAAAGTAACTAATATTTTTTCAGAGGGTTTAGGCTTGCCGTCAAAAGTTTTCGTGAATTTGTAGACGCTGTGCATATTTTGTGACTTAAGCTCTTCTACAATTTCTGATTCGGGAACATTTTTAAGCAAGGGGCAAAATGGTGCCCTTGACAAAATTGAGGGATTGGTGGAGCTTGATCTCAACCTCAGCTATGCCAGGCAAAGATTGTATCTTAGTGAACTTATCGGCGACTTCACGGGAGTTAACCAGAAGAGTAGAGATCGTAGAGATTTCTTGGCTGATATGCTTAATAGCCCGGTGGACTGCGAAGCAAGAGTATTCTGATAGCGGTTTGGTAGATTTGGAGGCAACGACGATAAATCGAGGGTTCTTTTGAGGGGTGAGGGGAAGTTCAGGGAAATCGATTCTTTGATAGGGCCTTTTTTTTTGCTTTGGGGCTAATACTAAGGCTGGCAAAGCGGTTATCCCCAAGATTGGGTGGCCCACGGGCCATAACAAAGATTATTGCTGTGCACTTAAGAAAAAAATATGCAAAAACACACGTGAGTGATGGAAAGGAGGGAAGCGAAAAAATAAGTGGAAGGGGAGGAAGCGAAATTGCAAAAACCACTGACAATTAGGAAGACAACGACGTCTGCACTCGAAGAGAGATAGTCGATGACGCCGGTAAAAACTCTTAGTTGTTCAACTGGTGTTTTGAGAATATAATCATGTTTAAATTTTTATCCAATTATTTTCGAAATAATAAACATAATTATTTTCGTTTAGGAAAATTTGTTTTTTTTTAACATAGACTTTAATTATGTCATGTTGCTGTTGCTAAGAATAATAAACTTTATAAGAGCAAAGCCAAAGACCAAAATTGTCACACTTACGTTATCTTCTTAATTTATTTTTGATCTCTTTAAATAAATCATACACTTTTGCTATTAATATTTGTACATAGGTGACAAGGCTTATAATGAAAAAAAAAAAACACATGTACATAAATGGAACATTTTCCAAAAATGTTAAACTAATTAAATAAAGTTCTATGAAACACAGACTAAAGACAGTAAAAAATCGACAATAGATTTAAATTCACTACACTTCTTACCACTTTCTAGACATTTCAGTTTTTATTTTGTTAAAACATTTTATGTGGGACATTAGTTTTAACCCTTTGTGCTCCAGCACATCTTGTTAACTTAAAAATTGACAGCAAACTAAAATTTGTATTTGGCGAAGTTTGTATATATTTGAAATACTACTAATAAATAGCTTCGTGAAAATAAAAAAAATTTTCCTTCGTTAAAAAATATTTACCAAAAATCCGCTAGGGTCAAAAATTGTATATTTACGAGTAAGAAAAGTATTCCCCAAGAGGCATAATGTTATCAATAAGACAATTTTAAGGTACCGTCTCTGCGTTCCACACCCTTCGTCACAAAAAGCCAAAAAACGATGTAAATTGATTTATTTAAAAACATATATATTTATCAGAAAATATTCATCAGCACCGTTCTTTTATCTGATATATATGTACATGGGTAGGTTTAATTTTCAGATTCATGTTTTCCTGAAAATTCATTTAAAGGGCTATGTAACAAACGCACCCTATTGATTTCAAACAATTTTACATCACAACTAACTTTTTGTGACATATTATTAACATGATATTGAGAAAAACGACATTTTACTTTTCCAATAAATCAGAAATATCAATAAGTTTTTCTTTTATACAGTGCAATACAATTTACGATTTAATATTTTTTTCAAATACTTAAAATGATTTGGTATTTAGTCAAACTTAAATATAAAAAAGCACTGTGTATCATGTTGTTTGATTTGATTTTCTCTTTAAAACGTAAGTAATAAAAGCGACTCCATGTAGGATTTAATGTTTATACGAGTATAGAGATTTCCTGTATATTTAATTTACGAGTATATATATTATATTTCTAAGTTATGCATATAACAGGCATTTATACATACACAAATATATGTTATATTGGTTTGTCTTTTATGAACTTATTTCTGTCTTTCGAGAAAATTGTACTGTAATGATTTATTTTCTTTGATTTAGTTAATTCAGGTATTGATAAGAAAATAGATAATTCTTTACACAGAAGTTGCATATGTTTGTCAATTTTTCTTAATTGTTTTTGTTGGAACGCATTTTAAATTTAATATATTCGAAAAATGTTTTATCTCTGTCTCTTTTGGGCTTAGTAACTAATTATTTGGAATTGGAGCGAAGGTTTTTCGTATGAGAAGTATGCAAGCTATAGTAAAAATAACTTGCACATAAGTATAAAAGAGAGATTACATTTATGGAATTTTTGATTGTTTTAAGTTAATGACCAAAGGTGTTTCTAATAAATTGATCGTTTGTTTTTCGAGCTGGGCATTATAATTATTATGTTTTGTTCTTACATTCGTAGATGCTTGCGAAAACTCTTCAAGAATGTTTAGTTTGGGTCTGTTTATGGGGTCTGCCCGCAGACTGTTCCTTTAAAGAGAAAGTTCAGTTTCTACAATGGGGATGAATCGGTCACAAAATACGCATAAAGAATTTAGCTAAATTAAATAATTAATCTTAGGGCTCTACGTAAAAATAAAGTGTATATTAATAAGGCTAGTATAAGCAGCGTAAATTAATTCATGTATTGTTTTGCTGATCCGATGAAAGAATTTAGGGGATTTTTCGTTCTTGGTTACTGCCAAAATTAAAACCGAAACCATTAACAAATTTTGGCAACTCTATGAGCTGAAAGAAACAAAAGAATTTTATTAGACACGTGGATCTTAATCAGTTTTTATATCCGTTTTGGAACTAAATCACTAAAAATAAGGTTCAGTTTTTTAAAGAAATTAAAAAAAGATTGATTTGAATTTTTTAATTTGATAGGATAATTTTACGAAACAATGAAATTACTTTTGAGAACAGCATCTTACTTACAACTTATTGAATAACATCTAGCAGTAACATCACAATTTTATATATTATTGATTCATGGGTGGCATGGGGCATATTGTTCATTTGGTGCTATCTATAAAGTTTGGCGGGCCACCTAGGGAATAACAAACATAATAATAGAAATTGAGTGATAGATAAGCTTTGAATTTGATACCAATCTGGTAATTCCGAATGCACGGTAATACCTAATTCAGAAAAACCTGACTCAACTCCCGCTTTGCATTTGTTTTATCGCCGGTTACCAATTTGAATATGATGTTTTTCGATGTCTATTTAGGTTGGCTTACCATGGTTCAGGTGCCTGCTTCCAGAAGTGCCTTGTTGATGGCTGTGAAGATTAGCCAAGGGGGGGATATTGTAGGGCGGTGGAGGCGGAGGTGGCATAGCCAAAGATTGCTGTTGTTGCTGGAGCTGCTGATGTTGTCTGCGTACGTGCATGTATGCTGCTACCGTAGTCGGTTCAGAAAGTAGAGTTGCTGTGGAATGGGAAGGAGGAGGTGGTGTTGTGCTGGAGGGTGAATGTGAAATCTGACAAGGACAGCTCAAGTTGCGGGTCACCGCATTGTTTGATATTTGCTGCAGCAATCGGCAGTCGGCTGCAGTATAGACCGGCGGGAGTGGTTCGTGTTGTGAGCTGCTTTGTTGCTGCTGATACTGTAAGAGATAATGTTGCTTCTGATGCACATAGCCGCTGTCACAGGACGATATGGAACCTGTTGGTTGTGAAATCGGGGTATAGAAATCGTCTCAAATGACGGTATGGTATCACGAGCAACTCGTGTCCATGTTCTGTAAGCTTGTACGTTTATGTAGCCGAAAGCCAACAAAACCCAATTCAACCACCAAAAACTATATTATTTTAAATGCAAGCGGGGAACAGAGTCTATAGCATAACCAAATACAAGTAATTGTCGACTGAATTATAGCTATTATGTAAATATCATAAACCGAATGCAAAGCATACCCATTAGCACAGTTTAAATAAAATAATTAAAAAGGTTGTGAGTGAATATAAAGAGGTAATCCTAAAATATTTTAGTTTTAATTTCATTTTCTTAAACAATTAATTTATAACAAAAACAAACAACGATACAGTCGAGACGCTGAGAGATACATGTTAGGGTGCTAACCAATTTTAAACTAATAATTTTGCTACCAGAAATCCACACCGTGTACATTTTTACTAATACCACTCATTGCCAGAACTACATGAAACATCTATAATAACCGAGGGTGTCGTCTCTGCCTATGTGAATCCGTTTCTAATAAGTTATGAAAAAATATCCGATTTACAAACTGTTGGTACAATGATAAGTATTGACGAGAAAATATTATACGAGTATTATAAAAAAAATTATAAACTCCAAAGTAATTTGCGGAACAATCATTTTAGAAAAGCCTAGTCCTAACATTCTATCTTCTATAGTTTCCGAGATCTTAGAGTGCCTATTGATCCTGGTCAGGAATGTAGAAACCTTATGGTATAAAACCATTTTATACGATGCAATATATAATTATATATTTTTAAAAAATATAAAGACAAATTTTCTTTGGTTTAACTATTACTCTTTCATTAGGTAACGACAAAAATTTAAAAAGTTAATCCAAAAAATAAGGACTTCAAAACATAAAATTTGTGTTATTATTGTTAAAAAAAAATACTGAAGAAAACAATTATTTTCACAGCTATCTAGTGTTAAACCAAGAAATTACGATTCGGCAACTATTTAAACTTTATTAATAACGTACCAAAGAAAAAATTATTGTACAGATAGAGCATACTTAGCATCCGGTTTTAGTAGCAGCTAATAGAATACCTTTAGTTTAATTATAAGTGCAATATTAAAGCAAGTCACTCACCGTTAGTTACGGATTTGCGCATTGGTAAATCGCGGAAAGTAGTAACACTACTGCTCTCAAGGGAGAGATCAACTGACGGTAATGGCGGTGGCGCAGCTAGAGTGTCTGAGTGTGATCGCTCGTGCATTGTGCGAGCTGGCGGTATATTGCCTGCAAACAGAATAAGCAAGAGGAAACGCTTAGTCGAGTGCCGCGACTATAAGATACCCGTTACTGTTTTACACAATTTAAAAATATTAATTTTGCTAGTGGAAATTCCCCAAGCGCACCTATTGTCGGAGAAAGCATGTTGAGTAACTTATAGTAACTTATAGTCACTGCCCAAGTGAGGCCTTGTAACCTACATTTCTTCATAAATAGCGAAATAATGTTCCGATATCAAAAATCTTTGGTAAATTGATAGATATTAACAGAAATAAGTTATACAAGGTCAAACGAAGGCATTCATAATATAAATATAGACGCCACGGTTTTCAGCGGTTTGTGGGCGTTAGAGTGGGCGTGATCGGATGAAAAGATGCAGTGGCATCTTTAAAATACATATTCCTATGCCCAACTTTCTAGCTCTTTTAGTTATCGAGATTTTTGCATTTTTGGTTTTTCATATTTGGGGCATCATAAAAACCTGTATGCCTAATCCGAACTTTCTATCACTTATAATTACCGAGATATCAGCTTTTCACAAAATGCGAAAACCGTCTTTTGAGCTTCGTGGGCGTATGGGTGGGTGTGGCCGAATAATACCACTATAAGATATGCAGGCATGCAAAGATTATACATACTGAATATCAACATTCTAACTTTAATAGTTCGAGATTTGTACGGGCCTCAAGAATCTTAATGCTTAATCTCAACTTTGTATCTGCTATAGTTCCTGAGATCTCAGCGTTCATACGGACGGACGCACAGAAGGACATGGCTCAATCGACTTCGCTATTGATCCTGATCAAGAATATATATACTTTATAGGGTCGGAAACGCTTCCTTCAATCTGTTACATACTTTTCAACGAATCTAGTATACGGTTTTACTCTACGAGTAACTGGTATAAAAAAGAAACGCTCTACTCGAGTGTCGGGGCCATCTGGTATCTGCGGTATCTGCGTATATACACTTTTTTTGGGTTTAGAGTGTTTTGTAGGAGTGGACAAATGTTGGAAAACGCATACACTTCTTACAGAATTAGGCCAAAGTTGTTTGCTGTTGGTGGGCGTGACCGGATGAAGAAACCTCCTGAGCTTATTTAGTACAGAATATGCATGCATGGTTAACCCCAACTAGCTATAAGTTATATGTAGTTTCCGAGATCACAATTTCTACTACACAATTTTTCTACAGAAAAAGAAATTTGCGTTTTGTATGTATGTTCTGCGCACGTCCTATCTCTGATAGTTAAAAAGATCTAAGCACTCATGCAGAAGAACCAACTGACGGATAGATGGACCGAGAGACGGCTAAATCAGCAAGGCTGTTGAATCTGATCAAGAACATTTATATTTTCCAGGGTTGGAAACAATTCCTTCTCTGTTAGGTACATTTCAGTAATTTAAATATACCCCTTTTCTCTAGTAGTAATGATAGAAGTCCTTCTATGTAACCACCTACCTCCCGATGCCAGACGTCGGTGTAAGCAGGGGACTAGGATTCGGGGTGCACTGGACATTGACAACAAGGCTTGTTGCTGGTGAAGCGACCAGCCCTCCTGCTGCTGCGACTGTCGGTGCATTGTAGCCAAGCGCTCCATGAATGTGAAGCGGCGGAATCACTCCAGCCATAGTGGATCCGTTCCGCGGAATGAACGGCTGGTGAGGCCTGATCTTTGAGGACTCTGAGAGGGATAGCATCTTCTTAACTGCCTGCGGTGAAGCTGTACCAAATTTTGGTCCGTTGTTGTGCATCTGTCGTCTCTGGTGATCGCTAGTGGAACTTGTCGAGCTGGTAGTTGAAAGAGTAGGTGAACTTGGATGTCTTTTGCGTAACGAAAGGGAGGAGTTGGGTGCAGAGCTAGAGCTGGTATGTGAGTAGATACTCAGTTGGTCACCGGCATTAAGGCTTCCACTGCCAACCCCACCTCCACTACAATTGCCCCCTCCACCACCACTGATGCTGCCCCCACCTCCACTTCGGTGAGAGGTGCTACCGTGCGAGATGCTGCCAGAGTAAGTGGAGCCGTGAGACGGTTCGCATTCCAACGAAAACTTGTGCAAAAGATCCTCGTCAGTTAGTATTTTAAGGCTATTGAGATATGCCTTTACACGACGGACCATCTGCGCCTCTTCAAACATCTTCTTAGGGTTGGGAGCCGCTGCCGATTTTTTGCGCCGCTTAATCGTTGCCTGGCCCGCATTGGCAGCGATTACTGTGCCCGCGGAAGCGTTACTTTGCGAGGATGACATTTGATTGAGCGAGAAGAGAGCATTGGAGGGAGATTGTCCTTTAAGCTCAAGAATGGACAGCAGATCGTACGGTGAACTGCACATATGCGTAAGTAAGCGTACCTCCTTTGCCAACATTCGCAGTTTCTCAAAGTTTATTAATCCGTCCACTCTCGTATCATTTCCCAGATGGATAAATGTAAGATCCTTTTTGACAATGGGATAGAAAGGAATGATAGGGTGCTGAGCCAATAGTTCGGCAGACACCAGTTGCCGATACTTGCTCATATTGCGCGAAGGATCCATCAGGTCCTGCAGGTCGTTAAACAACCTTTGGTATTTGGAAGGTAGCTTTTCCCACGTTAAACGCAACCGCGACACAGCGCCGTGTCCCAGGCCGGAGACGATTGCAAACATGGAATTAAAGTTCCGGCACTCCTTGCAGTGGCGCGCAATCTTTATAAACTGTTTTACTATCTTCATGCGACGAACGATGTTATGCTCAGCACATATCTCACTCACCACCCAAAACATTTCACGATTAACCAGTTCCGCAAATTTACTGAGCATAGGCACTCCGTAGCGTGACTTTAACTCGAATAGTTCATCTACATACTCAGTAGACTCAATCTGTCGAAAATTCGCAAAGTCCTGTAGAGTCAGTTGGATGGCCAGCTCGTATGCGTTCAGCTGCAAGAAGTACACACTCGACTCGCGTACAAGTTCCAAAGCAAGTTCATCTGGAACCAGCGGCTCAGTGCTATCGTTTAGCTTAAGGTAGTATCGCGCTGCAAAACTTATTCGCTCCGCCAGGTTTTGGAGTTGATCGGGCAAACGGCGCTGCTTTACCATTCCACCATCCCCAACACTTACTTCGCATAGTGAGAAATTTGAACTAGGATCGTGAATTCCAAACTCCTGAAGTGACAGCATGACAACTTCGTGGGCCGTTGTCTCCTTGTAGATAAGAACATATTTGCATGTTTGGTCTGCCTTGTAAACCTTTAGCACGTGATCTGGGTAGTCGGACAGGAGGTGTGACTGTGCTGAGTTTGTAGTCAAAGTACTGGCTGCTGATGGTCGGTGAATGTGAGCGCCCAAGTTTACTTGCAACCTTCCGTCACCACTTGCTACAGCTTCATTGCTCCCTTCAAAGTTGAGGCTAGTTAAATCCGGATTTGATTGAGACTGGTAGAGCCGGCCATTCCCACTTATGGCACAGCCGTTGATCGAGGGCTGGGTGGAACTGTTGCATGAGCTCCCTGATGAGAGTTTGGTCTTGGGATCGTTGAGCAGGGTGTCCGAAGAATCGTTTAAGATGCTTACATGATGATGTTGTTTGTTGAGTAAATTCATTTTGGCCAATGCCTTCTGTAATCGGCGCTTTGGCGCCAAAGTCATAAAACCACCTTTCGTGTCCTGCTGATCTGAGCTAGAATTTGTACTGGATCCAGACGACTTTTTAGCCGAACTATGATTGACACTTTGCAGGAGCTGTTGCATAAAGTTAGAGGCTATGCTTCCGCTTCCACTAACTGGTGGCGTTTGCGGTGGAGCACAGTCCGGCTGGTCGAGAAGCATATCTACGGAGCTAAGGCGCACTATGTGCGCCCGATTAGAGTCGCTGATGTTGGACAACTCTTCGTTAGTGCTATCTGAACGACCGTGCAGTTTAGCAATATCATTGGCGCAAATACGTCGAGGACTCCGCAGACACTTAAAGCTGCCACTTCCCGCAGACGCACTTCCAGATCCACCACCATAGTCAAGAGCCTGCATAATCTCCTTAAAACAAAGTAAGTTACTTTTCACGGTGATACTTAAGTGGGTGGTGCCCGTGAGGATTTCGAGTGCTCTCTTGCTAGTCACATGGTCCAGCGACTGTCCATTTACTTCGTGAATTTGATCGCCCCGCTTAAGACCAACATCCTGAGCCTTAGATCCTGATTCAACATGTGAAATGTATATGCCCACAGCTGCATTACCAGTAGCAACGGCTACGCCACGAAGCTCGTAACCGCCTACGATGCGGAAGTTGAGCGGCTCGTCACGTGATGATCGAGTGAGAGTACAGCTTCGCATTCTCGCTTTTGCGGCACAGGCTATGTGCAATAGACGCAGTTGACTTAGCAATTTCTTTCGCTCTAACAGTGCTTCAAAGACTTCTAAAAACTCCATCATCTCATAGTCCGCCTCAAAATCGGTGAAGTGATTGTTCACCCAGAGAAGCACCACTCGTGTTACGCGATCCCGTAATTCTTGAGTCTTGTGTGGATCCATCTGTTCTAGGTCAAACCAATACAACAGCTTGCTGGTCACTTCTCGCGGACTATGAATGAAAATACGGTGTGTAAGCAAAAAGTCTTCCACATATGTGGGGTCGGTCATTGAGTTTTCTTCGACCAGCTGCTGTAGAAGCCGCTCTGGAGTACCTCGGATAACGACGTGTCCACGTTTCATGTTAAGGGACGCTGAAGCTCCTGTTGCTGATCCGACAACACTAGCAGAGTCAGTGCTGCCTGCTCCAATGGATCGCAGCTCCGTGACCATAACCACAAATCCATTCTCGTCCTCATGCCGCCGCGTGTTCTCCTCTCCTTGGTGCTGAATACGGTAGTAGTCTGTCTGCGTAATGCATACAAATTGGCAGTCATCGCACTTAGTTCGCATCACACCTCGGTGGTAGAGTTTGTCCATAGTGGGAAGAATGCCAAAGGAGTCGCCCATCTGCAGCTCCTCGCGGCTTCCATTCGCGTGCTCGATCTCCACTGCCCCGTTTATAAGCACCGACCATGAATCCAATTCTTCTCCGTCTGACATGACTACGGTACCTGCCTTATCCACAACAGCGAATACCATCACGGAGCATAGTGCTTTTCGCACTGCTAAGGTAATGTTAGTAAATGCTTTTAGGCCCTGCGTAAACTCAAGCAGAACTTCCACGTCCTCCTCACTACGCTCAGCCGGGTCCTTCTCCAGGCAATCACGCACTGCATCTCGTACAGTTAAGCTCTAAATAAATTAAAAACAGTTCAGAGATTAAATTAATTAATTGTTACTTTTTTTGTATTGCAAGAGAAAAGCCTGTATGGCCAAATAAAATGTTAACGAACAAACGGACAGGTTAAATCGACTCAGCTATTGTGATCATAAATATACACAGGTATGGAATAAATAAGGATAGAAGGCAAAAATTTTATTATTTTGAAACCGTTTAGAACATCGTCAATGTCACATTGCAAACTCTAAACTTTGATTTATAGATTGGTTGCTATCATTTTTAAATATTTCTCAGGAATTTTTTTTTTGGCAAAAAATATATTAACTGAAAATTTTTACTATATAACATAATATCTATATCAAACACACTTTAGTATACAAGCAAGGGTAATCTGTTATTAATTATTAAAAATTTTAGGTTGCATTGCAAAAACATAGCCAGTGCGTTCTTGTCTACACAATATATTTTTTTTTTTTGTAAAAATTGATATTTGTATGTTTTTTGTGGCATTAACAGACCTTTATTTTTAATGGATTTGAAGGCACATACATCAAGAAGAGTTTATTTTTTAAGCAAGGGGCAAGAAATATGTATTTTATTAACTATTTATTTTGGCAGCAGAAGCAAGTACTCTTTAAGAAATCCATTGGGTATAGTATTGTTTACTAGATTTAATTTTGTTTACTAAAAAAGAGTTGGTATAATAAAGAAATTAAATAATAATAAGTCCTTTCTTTTTTATTTTTATTTTCAGAAAAACTCTTTGCTGTTATCCTTAGAGAAATGTCGAAAATAGCACTACCACTATGTGGAACCCTTTAAATGTGGCTTCAAATGAAAACAAGTTTGAAGTAAATAAGGCTCATACCAAAAGGACGTTTACGAGATGGAACAAAATAATTAAATTTTCAAAATCGGATACTGAACAGAAAGGTTCCTTATGTTTATAGTCAAGAACGTATACTACGTTTGATGGAATTTATAGGAAATTATCTGTTTTGAAACGGACTTCTTGATGCGTAAAACTAAACTTGGACCTGAATTTTGGCAATCGAGGACAACTGTTTCATCAGGAAGATAAGCTTTTAATCCAAGTGCCACCAAGTGATTATAAAATAGTTATGTATTTGTCATAGTAGTTCTATCCTGGCAGCTCCGTCTATTACCCCTTATTTAGATATATAGGGTCTTTAACTGAGAGAATTTGCGTTGTTTTGGACAAAAAGTTGGCTATTTATACAGATCACGGCTCGGTTCCCTTCTAAATATCTAAACTTTCCTTAGAAATGCAATATTTGACCAAATAAGAAAAGTGAGACAAAAAAACGTTTTGACTACAAAAAAAGTTTACTTACATCCATGCTTTCTGCAAGGTCCTCCTCGTCAGAATCCACTATAGACTCCACTAAGCCGGATAAGTCAATCTCCTCGGCCTCCAGCGACGAGGCATAGTTTGAGGCCATTGTGTCGCTGCCGCTGTACGCCGAACTAGTATCACTGGAGTGCGATCCCCGGTTACATTTTTGGTGCAATTCTGGTCGGTTGATTGTCGACGCGTTTCCCGCCACCGATCCAAGGCCTGCTATGCTTGTGGGTGGATACTGTAGAAAAAACCCTTTTTCATTTAAATAAAGTTAATTAAAAATCTGAAAAACTGACATGTTGTCTGATATGGTGATATGGATCCATGGGGCGTAACTTTTGCTGTGGATGCAGCCTACAACGGCATGCCAACCTCACCCTGTCTGTTGTAATAAGTGATGAGTTTAGACTTAAGATTTATCTGAAATTGAAAACTTTAAACAATGAATGTGCGTCAGAATGTCCTAGTTCAGCTCGAATAAAAATTTGCTAGAGATGTTCCTACTATTTCAGCTTAAACTCAAAAAAACAAAATAAAATATTTATATTTAATAGATTTATAGTATAAAAATAACTTCAAACTGCAAATTTGAAGAAGTACATTTTACTTAGGCTTAAAGGAATGCCCCATATTTACAGCTTTGAAGGATATTAGTTATTAACTTAAAAATATTAAGATATATAAAAAAAATAAAGAAATTAACAAATAAGATAATACATCCGACCGGAATTTAAAAAATAATATTTTGATTAATTTTTTTAATGTGAAATAAAACAAAGAAATACGTATGCTTCGTTGTAAAAAATCTAGAACAACGTTTTAGAATAGGCATTAAGTAAGATCAAAGCTACTAAGAAACTACGAGTATTATTCTGATTTGATTTTTAGTTTGTTGCCCACTCAAGTTGTTATTTTTCTCCGTACTAACACACTTTCGTTTTTTACACACAAGCGCAATGCTGCCAATAAATTAAGATAAACAAAACAATTGAAGAGCGGGCAGAAATTCTCATGGAATTGTGTCTACGCTAACGCTGCAGCAGAGGTAGTAGCAACACCGCGGTGTGCGTGTGTGGTGCCAGCCAGTGATGCTACTGTACATGAGAGTAAATGATTGCTGGTATGTGTGTCCGACTAACGCTGCGCGTGTAGCGTCAGCGGAGTCGCGCGACACAAAAATATAATAACAAAAAAAAATTGTAGGCGACTATTTCCGCTCGATGGATAAGCCATTTAAAATAATAAGAGCATTGCAAAATCTCAGTGTGGTAAACAAGACACATTTTGAACCACCCACGCAGACATCCAATATGGGCGTTTTTGGTGCCTCTCAATGTTTTCGATGGCTGGAAGGGTTTCCAATGGGAGGTGCTTACGTAGCCACTTAGTTGTTATACGCACATTTAATAGTTGTTGCAGAGCATATATGTAGCAAGTATGTAGCTTTAAATTGCACTTTTTCCTACACCTTTGCATAAAGAAATTCAGGCAGTGTGTGTGTGTATATGTACTGTGCTACGCATTGTTGTAATTTTTCTCACTACGCACACATCTTAACGAAGAAAAAAACTGGTGCACTGCAAGTTATCAACAGCTGCTTTGTCGCCGATATTTATGTCATGCTTGTTGTATTTATAAATTAATCAAGCTAATTTAAATAAAGGTCTACAAAAGAGACTGAATTTCACTCTGTTCGCTAGTGCTGTAAAAACATAGATGGTAATATCGATAGTATCTATGGTGGCGCTCTGGTGTTCACCATCGATTGTTTTTAGACCATCGTAGAAGTGCATCGTCAAGATCTCATACCCTTTTCAAGAAGGCTAAAATAATTTCTGAAGCTTAAAAATGTTGAGTATGTTACGGAAGTATGTTTTGCAAAGTAAATTGAAAAAATTAATGTATAGGATGAATGTGACCCTTAAACACTCGTCACATTTATATTTTTTTACTTACTGAATTTCGGAAAAATTATAATGAAATGCTCCCACTGGGCCAAATTACCAGTCTGTGCCGGCCACATCAACCTAAACCGATAGAATTTTTATATAACGTTTTAACTGATCTGTATGCACTGTGCAATGCTTTAACCGGCTGTCGTAAATATGTTAATACTTATTTGTTATAAAACAGTTTTAAAATTAAAATGATATAATATATATAAGATCTATGCTAATAAATTATACAATATTCGGAATTTGGTAAAATTAGTAATTAGACTTTTCTGCGTGAGCGTACCTTATTTAGAGTGATATTATAGCTATGGTATACATATATACATATATGTTTCCACCATGAGCTGAAGGCCCTAGCTGCTATTGCTCCTAGCCATTTGTTAGCTCTTAGTTTTAACTAATTGTTAGTCTTAGATAAATAAATAAATAAATAAATGTTTCCACCAAAAAATTTTGGTAACTACCGATTGCGCCATTTTCGATGTTTTTACACTTCTAAATTTGTTCACGGATATCGTTGTTATACCCGTTACTCGTAGAGCAGTGTTGCCAGTTTAGCTTATTATAAGCTAGTTCTAGCATATTTTGAACTGGAAAAGCTTGAAAAATATTGATCTAGCTTATAGCTTGAAATATAGCTTATTTTAAAATTCATCTAGCATATTCTAGCTTTAAATTTATTTACGTCATTAACGCGTTGTTTCTTAAGAAAAATATGCTTTATGACATGAAAATATCGGAGCTTGTTCTTTTTTTGTCGATTATGTGCGTTTCATATGATCATGAATATATTTCTAATCGATAGTGCCATAGAAGATCGATATGTTGGCTTAAGTGTTGCCAGCAATCACTTGAAGTTGTGAACTTTAATAAAGCGAGTTGTAAAATGCCGAAAGTCCAATATAAACCAATTTTTTGCGATGCTTGACTCCAAAGTAATGAGTTCAAGGCGTGGTAACGCAAAGTGCCAGGAGATTATACAAGAGCTTATTGCTCCTATTGTAAGTCAACAATTTCAGCAAAAATCTTTGAAAAAAGGCAGCAAGCGGCAACAAAGAAGCACCTGCTAGAATGGGCTCAATTGGGCAAAATAAGTTTCCCTGCAAAATGTTACAAAACACAGGGGCAGGAAGCAGCCCTTTCAATAAAAATTTAAGGACTTAATCATAAAAATAGCCCCCAATGACTATTGCCACCCACATTTGGGTGTAGCTTGTTTTTTAGCATATTTTTTTTTTAAATTTTAGCTTATTCTAGCTTATTTTTTTCATAAATCGAGCTTATATGTGCGCTCATCACCTGGCAACACTGTCGTAGAGTAAAACGGTATACTAGATTCGTTGGAAAGTATGCAACAGGTAGAAGGAAGCATTTCCGACCCTATAAAGTATATATTATATGTAAGTTAACTGTACTCAGCAAGACCAGAGTCGTTGACCATAGTTACGGCATCATTGTCGCGCCGGCCAAACTGCCGACCAAGCCATGGGCCGGACGCTCGTGCACAGACGGCAAACACAGCATATTTGCGTGGCCGCTGTGAGCTTCTGTATGCCATAAGAATATTCTCTGGAGTCAGTTCCATTTCCAAAGCTCAATAAAGAGCACAAGCTCATTTACTGAATAACTCCGGCAACTGCCGTTAAACATTTTATTATTCCAAAACTGACTGAGTCTCTAGGCCAGCAGGTTAAGAAGGGCAGTCACCCTTCCAACATAAACTTCCTAATTTTCAGTGGATAGGAGCAGCCAGCCGGCAACCTATACGGAGACGGCTACGAGGGAATCTCTCAGAAGGAAAATATTCACCGAGTGGACTCCATACATAACATACATAAATTGGTATATTCTTGATCCTAGACGCGAAGTCGATTGAGCCATGTCCGTCTGCCCGCATGAACGCTGAGATCTTAGGAACTTTGTATATGAGATACAAAGTTGGGATTAAGCATGAAGATTCTTGAGGTCCCTACGCAGCGCATGTTTATTTCAGCATCCTACTATGCCCACTCTAACGCCCACAAATCACGAAAAACAAAAACGCTAAAATCTCAGGAACTCTTAAAGCTAGAAAATTCAGTATGTAAAATTCAGTATGTATGTATGTAATTCAGTATGTATAATCTTGCGATGCCAACGCATCTTATGGTGGTACCATTATCCGGCCACACCAACTCTTACGCCAACCAAGCTCGAAAAACGGTTTTCACATTTTGTAGAAAATCTGATATCTCGGTAACTATAAGAGATAGAAAGTTCGGATTAAGCATGTAGGTTTTAATGATGCCCCCAACCCGAAAACCCAAAAATGGTAAAATCGCGGGAACTATATAAGCTACAATTTTGCTTAAAAATACGTATTTAAGAGATGTCACTGCAACGTGCCTCGCCCACTCTAACGTCCACAAATCGCTAAAATATGTGGCATCCATAATATTGTAATGTATGTCTTGTAATTTATTATTATTATTATAAATGTAAATGTGAAAGTATTTTTCTGCAGAAATGCACATACATATGTACATATGTTATTCATGCTGTGCTAGTACGAGTAGGTGTGAGAAAGCTATTCATTGCTGTACGGTGTAAGTGAGACTTAATAGGATGTCATTAGTGATACCAGCGAATTTTAAGAGGAATCGAAGATAAAGTCATAATCATGCAGAAAGCAGTCAATCAGACTGGCTTATAGTTATTTCTTAAAAAGAGACTATTATGAATCCGAACATGAACAACGACGATATAATTATATTCCCAATTATTTCGTCGTTGTTCATGCTCTAATGAAATTAAAGTAATACATACATTCTTTTCGTTCATCTTCCTCTACGAGCTTAAGAAATGGAAAAACGTTGATGTTGCCCCAGAAAACATCCATGTTTTGCTTTCATTCAAAAACGTCGATAAAATTGATTTTGACATCGATCTTACTCCACCTCTACTTCTAAGTTTTTACCTTACATTAAAGTCAGAGATCATTGTGCTCGAATCCGATTTAATTGAAGAATGGTTTGTCGGAGAACTGTAAACAATTCTACCTTTTAGGAATCAATTCTTTTCCATTTAATTTTTGAAAAGATCGATTAAATCGATTTGAGATCGAAAACGTAAAGTTTTTTTTTATGAATCAATCTATATTTTTCTCCTTAACACCAACACACACTAATTCTAGAAGCAATAAATATTTATTAGTTTACTTGAGTTATCTTAATTTAAAATCATTTTTTCGCTTACTTACATTAATCCACTCCGATTCGCCTGAAAATTTTTTAAGCTGAGCATACTTGTCGATGCATCGATTACCTAAAAAAGAATCGATTTTTGCGGTCATTTAAAAAGATCCAGCTCTAGTTTGTATAAATAATATTAATATATATATGTATGTTAAATAAAATAATGTCCGTCAAGTTAGCGTCAGTGACTATAGAACAGTGAACTATAGAACAAGGAAAAAGGGAATCCGGAATCCTTATAATGATAGATCTTTTCTAATTTTCTGGTTAGTAGCCAAATCCTGTAATCCTGTGGGCTTGCCCCCGGTGATAGCTTTTCTATTTACTCTCGCTGGGCTTTTAGAGCATATTGTTTTAGTAGTAGTTACTGAGTAGTTTCTTCTACTGCCCACGCAGCGTCTATTCTTCAGAACCAGCAGATCTTTGGTGATTCATATGTCCTCTTTGGTATTCAAATTTTTGCTCCTGCGGCCAGAACTGAAATCAGAGGAATGGTAGAGCAGTAAATGTGTTCCTCAAAGTTAAGCTGTGAGTCTAAGTCAAGGCTTATCTCACATACTTTTGTATTTCAGCTAGTTCGTTGTGTGCGAGTCAGCCTATGGGAGTGCTTTATGATTTCAGGAGTAATGGTTAGCTGAGATGTCCGTGAGCGATCTGCCAGTTACTATGTAAACTGTTTTTAATTATATAAAGTTCGATTAAGTCAGGCAGTATTCTGGGTTATGCAGGCCAGTACATTGGGATATCCGGAGATAAGCAATTCAGTTTGTTTATCACATTTATTTTTGCATTGTATAACTGTCTCCCTTTGGGGCTTACGAGACGCGATCCTAAGTGCGTATGTTTGTCGTTAGTCTTCATCTTCTCAAAATCTGACATCGTGAAGGTTGAAGAAATCCTTGAATTGTGCCTTCGAGATTTTAAAGCAACTGTGTGAGTGTAGGGATATCGATGTGGCTTGTAAGTGGTTTCTTGCACTTTCGTGACGATGGTGCATGATGCGGTCTCTTATCAAAATGGTGGTTCCACCGTGCGATTTGTCGTCTGGATGATGGAAGACTATTGAGCTGATGCTTTTGTGGGTAATGTGGAGCGGCTGAGAATATTTGTGTTCTTAGCAAATGTTGTTATTGTGAGTTGATTGTTTGTTGGGATGTTCTTTTAGAATATATTGTGTTGGTCTATAACTAATCCTGATATCGACGGATATGACAGAATTACATTTAAGTCAGAATTTTCTGTCGTAGAAATAGACTCTAGGGGCTTGTGCATATTGTTTGGGATCACTGTTTAGACGGTCTAGTTTATAACCGCTTAGCCAAACTCTGTTTGTTGTTGCTATCAGCACATCGTTGCTGGATCGTGTGCGTACTTCGACTTCAAAATGATGATTGACCGTATGGCAAACAATTTGTTTATGCATTTCTCAAAATATTTACATACCGGATCAGACCGGTACCCCCCGGGGCTTTAAAGTTTGTGGACGCTCAAAGTTAATTTCCGATTCCACATTTTCCAAAATATCAGCAATAGAAGGTGTAGAATAGGATCAATAGCCACATCAAAAATCACACCAAAAATATATATGTATATATTTAGATGTTTCGCCGTTTTAAAAACATCTCTAGAGTTAGATGAAATGAGATTCTAACAATCTTATAATTAAAAGTTAAGAGTTTTGCATGAACCGGTTACCGTTACTAAGCTCTAAGATCTACACGCTTAACCCTATATTAAGCCCTCGTATTTCCCGAGAACTAAGCGTTCATTCAGATACGCCGACGGCAGCCATAGGAAGTAATAAAAAAAAAGTCTTGCGGTATTTTTATTGAATTTTCAATTGTATATAAAATTGGTTAAAATAATGTGATTCAAGTCAAATATACGCCATTTTGTTCGATGACGCGTTCCCAACGAGGTTCCAACTTCATAATGTCCCTCTCATAGAAGCTCGCTTCCCTGTTGGCAAAAAACTCGGAGAGACAACCAAGACTACCAAGCGCGTTCGCCATGGACAGAAACCGGTGGTAATCACTTGGTGCGAGATCCGGACTATACGGTGGATGCAAAAGAACCTCCCAATACTTTCCCTTATTTATTTTGCTCAATGATTGCGACGCTATAACTCACGAACGAAATGAGCTTTCCAAAAAGGTATAGTATGACCTAATGCGACGAATAAAACAAGAACTACTCGCTTTCAGCGCCAACTAGCTGTAAAAAAATAAAAATGCACAATTATATGTATTAAAAGAATTAAGTCACAAAGAAGAACAGAAGAACCTTCCCTACGTTGTTTCTCACTCTCATTCGTAGTATACAAGTTAATTGTAGCCAGCCAGATCAGTGTCGCCGACCATGGTCACACACAAATGATCTATTTTATCCGAATGTGATCTACGAATGTGGTGCACCTCGACTCTTTGTACAATGCAAGCTTCTCCAAAAATACAGCTCAGTTATTATTGATTGGAATCAAAAGCTGATATATATGTATAACTAAGTCCGTCTATACGGGCATATGATCTCAAATAAGATAATATTATTTAGCCTCCATTCGGTAACATTGCAGCGCGGCCTAAATGAGCAAAACTAAAAACACTGAAGTCGCAATAACTAAAGAAGTTAGAAGGTTGGGAAATATATGCATGCATATATTGGAGATGTCAGAACAGCACAAGTTTGTTTCAGCAGCCGACGACGACTCACCACATAACCTAAAAAACTGTTGCGTCCACAATAATAGGGTTAGTTATTCCTTAAATATCAATTTTGCGTGTTAAACCTCATCGAATTATTTCAAATCAGACCATTTTATCACAATTTAATAATTTATTTTAAGAATTTATTTAAAATTTAAGTTACGCTAAATTATACCAAATGAAACATATAAATAAGTTTTTGGTTGTGCTAATTAACAAATTATATTTTACTTTGTGTTTATCAAATGATAATAAAATTTGAATAATAATCGAAATAGTTAAATGCAAAATATATTCCATTTTTAAATTTAGCTTCTCTCAATATATCTATCTTAAGGCTATGTTTTATTATTTTTTTTTTATTATTAATTTGAATTAATATAGTGGGTAGCCGGTACCCGGTATAATTAATTAACATTTACTCTATATTACAGCGAAATCAGTTTGAAGCATTTGGTAATATAAATAAGAGTCAAAATGTAGTCATTCTTTTTTTATACATACATCACAAAAAAGCAACTGCAGAAGGCACAGTAAAATTTTTATGAAATGTACGATTATGTATAATTTTGGTATGCGTCTAATTGACTACAGTGCCTACATTGGAATTTAATGTCTGTGATTAATATAAGACTTGAAATCCACAGACTTAGGACAAGCAGAAGTACAAAGCGTTTTGCTTAATTGTTTTCAATGTCTGTGTTAGAATAGTTATTGTCAAAATTATATGCAGGTTTTAAACAATTTTGTTTGTTTGTGCCAGTTTCTATAGAGATATATCATTAACTTTAATTATAATGAGATAGTGTATTTAGGAACAGGGACAGAATTGGCAGTTGGACATGATTTCGTGTTTATAAAAAATATATATACCTTTATAAATATGTGTATATATACTACTATAAATATAAAACATACACGATTTGGTTAACAGCGTTCAGGTTGAGTTGCAATACATAGGTACAGACATATTCCAATGCTATCTAAGTTTTTAGACTCCATTGAATTTATAGGTCGAGAAAACGTACAATATTTACTATATAAAATGTACAACACATGTAAGTGTGTTTATCTTATAACCTGTTGGATTGATTGCGTTGTTTAAAGTGGAAAATTGTTCGGTTACTTTACATTAAAACTTGAAAATAGTGTCTATTTTTGGTTTTTAAAGATAGCAGTAAAACTAAAACTACGTCCTAAATGGTTCTTTTAACTTTCAACTTCAACATTCATTTCATTTAGTTAGGTGCTATCCGAATAATATCTACAGAGTTAAAGCAGAATGTTAAACCCTTGCACTTAATTCAACTTCGTATTTCATAAAATAAAAGAAGTATTCGAAAAAAAAAACAAATTATTGAACGCAATAACTGAGGAACTGAGGGAACTGAGTGGTTATCTTAAGGGACCAGTTTGGCAAGGCAAAGAACAGAGTTCCGACCAACAAAGTTGATCACTCTTGTCAGCGAATTTCGCCTTTTCTACTCAACCCAGAGAGTTGAAGCAGCGGTATCAGATCAAGAAGAAGACGGGAGATTCTGACCCCGAGAAGGTGCCGTACATACTTTTTGAATTCAGCAATTTTATTTATTTTTTCTTAAGTAATAAATGTTGCAAACACTCAAAACGGGAATTATGCCGAGGAATGCTGTAGCAAGCACTAATCAGTATGTTAAGACTATTTGAGAAAAAACATCGAAAGCCTATCCATCCGAAATAGAAGGAAGACTGCTGTGAATGTTTCGTGCAGATAGCTTTAGTTTGGAGAATCTATCTGTTTAGTAACAACTAAAAGGAAAACTCGAATTCAATTATATTAATAATAATGGAGTTTTTATTGCGGTTAAAAATAAAAATTAAAACCAGTTTAAATTAAAGTACAACCACCACAAGAGTTTTTCTGAAATTATCCTTAAAAATATATCTAAAAATCTGACGTGGTGCAAGGTTTTTAGTTTTAAGTTATATAAAATAAAATCCTTTCGGAATCCTTATTGCGTACCTTTTTAGGAACTCAATAACATATTTTACATCAAGGTCATTTAAAGACTTTTAAATAAACTACCAAAAAACGTGATTTTCGCCTGTGGGAATTACTCGAATTGATTCACTTTAATTCGTTTTTTAATTGATATGTGATCAAACTTAATTTCATTTGAGTCTTTTAATACATGAGTGTATAAGTGTTTGCCTTAAAATGTAAGTTTTTGCGCTGCAAATACAAATGTATCTCTCGAAAGCTAGGACGACTCGACTCATCGCGGTGCCAACACTCGCACATAAGATCGTAGATTTCCCTCGGGCATATAAGAGGCATAGGCAAAAGTTCCTGAAGGAAGTTAAGATGGGCTATAAATTATAAACGAATTCAACAATTTTAGATCTACATACTTGCTTTTTTAAGTCCCGGTATATGTTCCCAAAGTTTTCAAAAACGCTTTGATTATTCAAATGTTTATATGGCTGTTCCCTGGCGAAAGTTAATATTTCCCAAAAAGCCACTGCAAAGGACCATACGTCAGATTTCGTCGTGAACTTCCCCTGAAAATAATTTTTGAAACAAGGAATGTTAACGAATCATAATAACGTATTACAAAAAGCTATAAAATAAAAATATATTTGTAACTGGCTGGGTATTTATTATTTATACTAACTTAGATTATTATATTATTTTGTAAGCGCTGGTCACACTTCTGATCTCTCTCGAGAGAGTAAGAAGCTGAACATAAACGGGGGTTGAAACATAGCACCCGGCGAGCAACAAGTTAGTTCGTATTGAAAGTTGAAAGAGAACACAATAAAAAGATCCTGATATATATTTAAACCTTTTTTCGAGTATCGTTACCGACCGAATGGTTGACAGCCCTCGGTTTTTATTCAATAGAACATCAGTTACAGTTATGTATTTACTTATTATTTACTTATTTATTTAAGCCAAACATTTAGCCTTAGTATTATTGACGCTTCGGTTGCTGCTGATATAAGACTAAGATGTACACGCATCTCTAGAATCTCAACTTTGTTGCTCTTTTAATTCCTGAGAATTATGTGTTCATACGGACAGACGGTGATGACTAAACCAGCAGGGCTGTATATCCTTATCAGGGTTCCAAATACATATACATAATATGGTCGAATAGTGTCATTTCTTGTTAATTTAAAAGTAATAGACAAAAAAGTTACTGTAATATAGAATGATTTACGTATTCTTACCAGCAACACACTCTCCCACGCCATCCATCGAATCGGAATATTCTGCCTGCCGACGATTCCATCCAGTTGGCAATAGTCTGAAGCATAGGCCGACCTATTTATCACAGTTCCAATGGAGCACACTTTAACGCACAGCTCTGGGCCAATAATACAGCTTCTGAAAATTAGTCAAAGAAAGCAAGTACTCGCATTTTTTATTTTTTAAGGAGTTGAGTATTGAGGATCATAAAAGTGTATGGTGTAACCTACCTACCTGTGTTTAAAAAACAACACAAGCATTAGGATTTTGGCAAAGCAATTAAAAAATTTCGGAGAAAAACTATTGTTTAAGAAAGTGGCATTATTTAAAAAACTGTAAACTTAAATAATATATTACAAATTTTGAATCAGACAAATATTCGTAGTGAGCAGCGTTAGCCGTTGATAATGACTTGCCATGTAAAACATGAAAAAAAAAATAAAATAAATATATGAAAGTAAAGTAAGTATCCAAGTCCAAATCCAAAACTCCAAGTCGCATCCCATGCTGATTCCATTCCTTTTACCTGCCACGGCCACTCTAACGCCCACAAATCACCAAAAAATTGCTGAAATCTGAGGAACTATTAGAGCAAGAAAGATGAAAGTCAGTATGTATAATTTTGAGATGCCAGCGCATCTTATGGTGGTACCATTATTCGGCCACACCCACTCTTACGCCCACCAAGCTCTAACGACTATTTTCGCATTTTGAAGAAAAACTGATATCTCGCTTTTAATAATGGCCCCAATGCGAATTGTTTTTTCCGATCTAGCCACGCCCACTCTAACAACCACAAAAGCCGGAATATCAAAAAAAGCAAAAATCTCGGGAACTAAAAGAGCTAGAAAGTTGTGCTTAAGAATACATATTTCTCTAAAATACGTGTTCATAAGCCTAGCTTAAGAATGCCGCAGCGACTTCACAATGCACGTTGACATATCCCCGCCCATTCCGATTTTCATTTTAACATTTGGTATCAATCCTGAATATGTTGGTAAGCCTACACACAGAGGCTCTCGTAAATCAAACAATGCTTAAAACTTTTTAAAACTTTTTGAACTCATTATTCCAAGCTTGCCAATAGAAAATATAAATCTTAGGGCGTTTGGTCCACCTTTAGTTAATCACGACCCGGAATACCCAAATATAATAATTTGTATGTTTATGTAAGTAAAACGAAGATTAAAAATGGTTTGAGGTCACCGAATGTGTGAACATTCTAATGATTCCTCCGCCACACATGTTTGCTTAAAATATTTTGCGATTGGAAAATTAACAATTTTAAAAATTGCGTCTGGCTGGGCTTGCAGTCATAAGATTTTTTTTAAAACAAATTTTAACTGTGCAGGAAATATATCTGCATAGGCACATTAACAGTGCAAGAGATTTCAGCGTTTAAGTGGACAGACACAGACGGGAATAAATGGCTATTTGATCCTCACGGCAGGTGATCGTGATCAAGATTATATACATTCAACAGGGTCGGGGAAAGCTTCCTTCTACCAATTTGTAATTGCCAAGGGATATAGTATACCATTTTATCCTACGCTTGGCGAATATAATAAGACCCAATAGATTAGTCGGTAGGTCAGATAAATGAATTCCCCCAGAAAAAATTTGACTACTTATAAATTTATATAAAATTACCTTTCTTGTTTTTGCAAATGCAAATCGTAGTGAAAAGTTTACCCTCCACTTAAACTTCGGTCGTTTTATTGCTGGTTATTTGTTGGTTTGTTGACGACGACGACTTATACAAATCCAATCATCCGCTCTCTCTGCGCTTCGTATTGGTTTTTTTGATTTCTTAGGAAGTCCAAATTTTAATAAGAATGCTACATTGACCAACTGCCATTTACATAGCTTTTACTTTGCCGCTCTATGAATTTATTTTTTGTAAAAATAACACCGGCATTATTATATCGAATGCCATGTTTGCAAACTCCACGAAGCGAACACAAAAAGTGTCTTTATGATTCCTGGTTAAAAGTAATTTGTAAGTACCAAGTAAACCAGTAGCCTATGAGGCTCGCATCCTGCAATCTAAGTTGTTGCCCATAGACGCCACCTAAACCTACTACTGGTCAGAGGGCATTCTTTCCTTGTTCAATATTTTGCGCTTTCGATGAATTAAAGCCTTCAGAAAATGTGATTTTTGTTTCATTAAAGTTTCTGGCTTATTTTTTTCTTTATAGTCGGAAATTAAGAGGTGCTTGGGGAAGTAAACATATCTGAAAAGGCCGAACCGCAATGACAATTATGATAAACTATAATAATATTGAAAACTGAAAATAAAAATGAAAATACATTTTCATTGCTATGGTATTTGTTATTGAACTTTATTATTTTCAGAAAAAGTAACACAAATATGAAGGTTTTCCTAAAAAGGCCAGAAAATGTAATTAAATTAGAAGGAATTTTAGGTTAACAAATCTTGAAACATAAAACTTGTGTTTCAGGCATTCCATTACGTTGGTCTCAAGATTAAAATAAATGCAGTTTAAACTATTTATACGATTAGGATAACTTTGATATTCAAAAAAAACCGTAATAATAGTTTGAAAAAGATTAGTGGATGGGTCGAGATTAGTGGGAAAGGGTAAGAAATTTTGCATTTTAGAACTTATAATCTGTCCCGGTCACGGCTAATTTGAAAAAGCTATAGATCCTGATCACGATATATATGTAAAGGGTGTTTTTTAGAGGTTTAGAACTTTAAGTTGGCATTTCTGTTCAAGAAGGCAACCGATTGATAAACCATGGAACGTTTTCGCACCACGTTAACCCTTATTGATAACTCGTATCCCCAGAGACGCCGTACAGTGCGTAGTAGCGTATTGCTAATGTAGAGCGTAGCATTAAGGAAGACCCGAATGAGTCCATCCGCCATCGAACACAGGAATCTGTGTCCATCCACTTTATGGAAGATCGGACTACATCCGAGCCAGCCGTGGCGGTCATATGCCATAAATCATATAATATTTAAAGTGAAATGCCGAAAAATAAAATAAAATTAACAAAAAATGCATTAAAGTCTTATACCTCTAAAAAACACCCTTTATTTAAAATTCAAATTACTGAGGTAAATGAGGATGAATAATTGAGTAAAGATAATCGAGGCCTAACAAGAGAAAACCTTTTTTAAAAAAGTATTTTCAAAGTTATTTCTGAAAGCAGCAGCAGAGAGGTTTACGCGCTTACCAGCTTCTTAATCGATAGGTATTGATATAAAAAGTTGAGATATCGGCAACTTTCACAGCTAAAAAGTTGTTTTAAGAATGCTAATTCTAGTGATGCCGCCACAGTTTAATCACCTTCTAGCCACTCCCACTACAAAGGCGCCAAACTATAAGAAATAGAAATTTGAGGCTAAGCCTGCGGAGTTGAAAAGCCTAAATACCAAAAAACTCGGTTCCCATCATTTTTAAGTTTAAGGTTTGGTTTGACCATAAATCTAATTACTTTCTTCTACCTTTTAATTACCTTTGAGCGAATACACTATATCCCTTTTTTGCGAATATCGGGTATAACAAGAAGGAAAGCTATTGTCGAGTGCGCGGATTATCGGATACACATTACGGAGTAATAATTACACTGTTAACTGTAACTGTAGTGTTGTTGTTTATTAACTGGTAGTGATGTCACTATTACTATATTACATTTACGAAGTTTTCGGAGAATACAATATACCCCTATATACAATTATTACGGGGCTTTACAGGCAGTTCTCTAACCGAAAAAGGCAAAACAGACGTACCGTTTAGTACTCCCAATGGATGGTTAAGTCACTATCTTTTGCTTCTTAAGATCAAGCTGTGTCCTGGGATGTGGATAATAGCGTTAAAAACTATTCTATACAAATATTATTACCACCAATTTTAATGTCTCAAAGAGCAAGCTAATTTTGTATACATCTGCCAATAAAGAGGTGTATAGGCTAACACAACAATTTTTAAGTTAATGATAAGATAATGGATCGTATTGGAAAATGCTATTTTCGTTTTACTGAGGATATTGTTAAACCGACAACAAATCCACTGTCTTTAAATAATTTTCTGGTTTGAAATTAAGTTATTAAAATGCATCCAAGGTTTGGTTAAAGGATAAATAATTATTAATTGTACACCAAGTGCTGAAAATGTATAGTCCCACTGGACAACATTTTTTTAATACGAAGTCAACTTGCAATACTTTATTATACAATATACGACAGATGAAAACGATTTCTTTATTGACGCTCCAGTTATGCTCCTTTTGACTTGTTCGACAACATACTTTGTGAGGTTCTTACACAGTACAGTACACCAACAATCTTTCCACCTCTTGGCCATATTTACATGCTAATGCAAGCTTTTCGATGCCATTGGTTGCGGAAAAATATTTACATTTCCTCGACTTTAGGTATTGAACCTTTTTAAACAATTGACATTAATATAGTTCTTGTAGGCGCAAATTATGGTCGATAATAGGCAATTGCGGGGAGAAAAATGCGTTTTATAGTAATACAGATGGGGGTGCTAGCACGGTTTAAATTTATAAGATTGAACCTGTTACTGTGTCCTACCTACTTTCAAATAAATACAAGTACTGAAATATCCTGGATGATTGTATCGGTAAGAGAATGATTCCGAGTTGCTTAATTATGAATATAAGATTATTCCAGCTTGATACAATTATATTAGAGATAGACTTATCCTTTATATATTTCAATTGTATTTATCTGAGATAAGTCCTGTTTTTTATTATTATTAACCAACCACAAATCAGCATGCTAAGAAACAAAAAAACAACCACAAAAAATGATAAAAATTCAAACTTTTAAGAATTTTCTAGTCCGCGTTGAGGAAAACAAAATTTTAAACACCTCCTCCTCCCCCAAAAATTAAAATATAAATAAAAGGACTTAAAGCATCTTAAACGAAAAGATGAATTCTTTAAAATAAAAAAAGGAATTAACAATGAGGTATTGGCAAAGGGTAGATGAAGATGACTATTCCCACTTTTACTTGACAAGAAACAAGTAGAAATGCTATAGTTAAGTGGCGCGACTATCGGATGCGCATTATTGTGTTAACAGAACTCAAAATAATAAATATGTACATCCAGAACGGTTTGAATAAATAATGAAACAACTC